TGTCTCGACTACAAAGTGTGTTTTTATGAGCATAATTTACCACATGAGCACATTATGATTCTTTTTCTGTTCTTCACATCTGACCTCTCACACGTCCCACAAATTTCAGCCAGTCAAATAATGTGTGCAGAAAGTATGAGCCAAATGCAATGAAAGAATCAAGGAAGTGACTTTTCCCCACCTGTTTATGCATCAATATTGGGCTTTTGGAGATTCATGCTTCCCCTAAAGCCAAAGGTGTGGGAATTGGAGAGTAACCCAAAACCAATAGAAGTAAATCACCAGCGCCTTTTAATAAGATGTTCATTTACATGGCACCTATCACAAAAAAACAAAATCAGTTTCACAAATAAAATCGCATCAAAATCAAAACGCATAACCAAAAGAATACAAAAGTGTTAAACACTAATGAATAGAGATTATTTAAAATATAAAAACAGTAAAAAATGATTTAAAAAATCTAAAAATATTAATAAAGATCAAATAAAAACTAAAAGATCATTAAAAAAAGAGAATGAGGGTCATTAACAAATGAAAAACGCAAAGGGTTTAAGCCAGGGGTGTTCATATTCCGGTCCCACATATCCAGCACATTTTAGTTTTAACCTGCTTCAACACACCTGATTTCAATCAGCAGGTGATTAATGGGCTTCTGCAGCCTGATGAGCTGCTGCACAGGTGATTCAACCACATATTCTAGTGTGTTGGAGCAGAGAAACCATTAAAACATGCTGGATACCGGCCCTCCAGGGCCAGATTTGAACATCCAGGTTTAAGTTAAAGCTGTTTTAAAATGTGTCTAGACTGTCTATGTGACATAAGAATAAAGGAAGTTCATCTTAGCACAAAGCAGCACAGACACAGAAGAATAATTAACCTTTAAAACTGGAATTCATCTTGGTTTGGAACCCAGCAGATTGGGTTAGGTAAGATTTTATGATGCAATGCTGCGAAGAGGAGAGAGAAACAAACAAGTCCTGTCGGTCAGTGTTGTTGCTGCCCTTTAATGGCGTCTAAGCTTTCAGATAATGCAATCACCAGACCCTGGACACGGCGTAATTGGATTGCAGGTAGTGAGTGAGAGGAAGAGAAAGAGGCAGGACAATAACTCTTGTTTGTGGTAAAACACGATGAGTTAAACAAAAAGTAAAACCTTTTAGATGTTTCTTCTGCCTCTTTTGAGTAACGTGTATTTCTCTTTGACATAGTTTCTGCAAGTAACACTTGTAGTAACAGATTTGGTGTATCAAGTTCTTTAAAGCATCCAGGTTTTCAACCTTCTTATCTAACTCCTTCATCAGATCAGAAGATGTACTTAATGTGTCACGCTTAAAAATCTAGAGCAAGAAGTTTGAGAACCGTAATCTTTTACTATGAAACCAAACACATTGGCCACAGGAGAGTTAAAAGTGGTAGAGAAATATTTTTTCAACCAGTTTTCAGTTTTCCCCCCAAAATCCAGGTACTGGCAAACCCAACAATGGTCATAACTCAGTCAGTTTTGTGGATAAAATTACAGTAAAATTTGGAGTGCTAGCTGTGTGCTAACAGATTGCACAAGATAACACATTATTTTCTAAATTTGACTGCATCAAAAGACTTTAACAGAGATCCTGCACCTTCCCAACCCCCTGCTAAGGGGTGGGACCTAACTCTTAACTTCACATTGGAGGCAGCAACGGTGCTGAACGGTTTACATGCGTACTTCGTATGTGTCCATCCATGATGGCAGAGTTCTCCTCGCGAGATCACAAAATCCCTCAAGACTTCATATCAGTAGTCTTCAATTATTTAGAAAATTACGGGACATTTTACACTAAAACTGTGTGTGATTTCCTGTCTAGCCCAATGTTCACTGCTGAAATTGACGTGTCCCAGAAGTGGCTTGCAGCAGAAACATAACTCAATACTACCTTCAGCGATACGACATGGCACGACACTGCATGGCGCTCGCTGCGCAGCATGGCGGCCAGTTTGAATCAACCCATGGACTATAATGGGTTCTAGTTGAAGCAGAGACATTTCGCTGCTATTCTGCACCGCTCATGCCTCCGGTGTGAAGTCAGGGTAAACATTAATGAGTACAGATTTTTTTGTTATGCTTTTGAGTTAGGGTTAGGATTAAACCCTATTGCAAGATGTGGAACCAAAGCAAGATAATGCTTTTATCAGAAATGGAACACATCCCTAATATATATGTATGTATGTATGTATGTATATATATATATATATATATATATATATATATATATATACATACATACATATGTATATATATATATATATATATATACATACATACATATGTATATATACACGTATATATATATATATATATATATATATATATATATATATATACACGTATATATATATATTTTTTTAATTGGTTAAATGTCACCAGCATAGCAGTTGACTCATTGTATAAATATCATTGTTTATATATTATATGTGTTGTTACATTAAAACCTCCAAAAGTTGCCAATTTTGTACCAAAAATATGATAAAATAAAATTGTTGGCCTGCAGAGTTGGATTGAGTTCACAGACAACTAAGCGCTCGTTCGTTCTTGTACTGTTTAATCATTAGTCAGACCACACACATCTTCCCTCTACAGCTTTATTTTGATCTCCCTTACACACCTGCAAGCTTTTTATGAGTGCATCTTGCAAAGTTACAGTGCTGACTGACACATTCACAAAACTTTAGACAAAATGCAATTTTGGCTTTAAATGCGTGTGCGCTATTATTTTGTGGGATTTAAAATGTGGACTATTTATCTTTAGCTTTAAGCAGTTTTTATTTCTGTAGCCGGGCAGATCTTATAGCCGCGAGAAACAAATATCTACCCACACACCCTTGACTTCCAACGCTAGTCCAAAGTAAACCTCTAAAGAGCGATATGCAGCCGCACATTTCAGCAAGCTTAGATGACTAATGATCGGCTTTATGAAGTCTTTTGTTGAGCTCTGGCTGGGTGCTGATCAGCGCTCAATCCGGGGAATGTTTTGTGCTGCACACACACACACACACACACACACACACACACACACACACACACACACACACACACACACACACACACTTAATCAAACACACACACTCACACACGTAAAGTACAAAGTGAGGCCTGGCCTGCCACTCCTTGCTGCCACAGTTGCCTCCTGGACATTTAGTGACGATAATGCAGCTGGAGCAAGTGGAGCAATCTGTAATTAGTCTTTGTCACAGTATCAGTAACGTCACCAACAACTCCACCCTTCCCCCATGGGTTGTTGCATTTTAGTGCTTGTGAGGAAGAGCAAGGTTCCCACTGAGTAAAATGTCTTGTTTTACTCACCACCTGTTGTAAGAAGGCCGTCTGCAAGTTGTGCAAACTTTTTACGAGACATCCAGCTCATAAATTTGAGTCATTTTCATTTGGCTAAATGGACCAAATGGAAAAAAATTATGAAGTAACCTTTTTTAAGGTTGAACTGATCTAGTTTCTGTCTTGCAGCAGAATGAGGAAGTTGGCTGTGGAGTGTCAGGTCATTCCCCACCTGCAGTTCGGTTATGAAATCAACAGCTGGACATGCAATGAGTTTACTGTGGCTGCCTGCTTCCGCAATAAACAGTTATTTATTTATTTATTTATTTATTTATTTATTTATTTATTTATTTATTTATTTATTTTGTTCTTTTTTTGTTTTGTTTTTTCTTGTTTTAGACTCCGTGTCTGAGGGAGTTTGCTGCTCCTCTGGTCACCTCTCTTATTCACCCTTTACTGGTTGAAAATTCAAGTGGGAATGGAGATTTTACTGCAGTTTGGAGATGTAAGATGCCTTTTTGGAGGTTTAATTCACAGCTGACAAGTCTTGACTTTATTATTTCAGTTTGGTTTTGCAGAACGAGTAGTAACCACGAGAATAATTAAGTCTTAGATGGCTCCTATAATTGAAACAGCCGTCTTGCTTTTGCATGCCTGCCTCTTGTTTGCCGGGGCATTGGATCTGCAAGACTCGGATCCCTCAGGGTTAAAACTAATGAGGATTAATAAATGGAATAGCAATAGACATCTGTTTGTTGGTGTTTGTGTGTGAAAGATCAACAACATCAGGGAAATTAAGGGAAATCCCTTCCAATAACACAAATGCTTAGTTTCTGTTGGATTTATTTATTTCCTTTTTATAATATCACTTAAATTTATTTGTGTGCACGCTTTTTAGGGTGTGCCCCAGAAATCAAATTTCATGCTTTGACTGTCTTTGCTCTCAAGAGTAGACATGTTTAGGAATGTGTCTGGGGCATTTTCTAATAAACCGGATGTGAATTCTGCTTATTTTTCTCCAAAACTTTCTTTTTTACTTTCTGTTTTAAACCTATTTAAAACATTAGTATTTGCAGCGTGCATGCGGAACGTTTGTTTATGCATGGTTGTGTGTAGAAGCACAGCTGCTGTCTGACCACTAAAAGATTACTTGTAATGCACATTATTGGTTCAAAGAGAACAAGCCTCTTCTATTTTCCTTGTTTATCACTGCCTTCCGTATCCTGGCCTGCCGTTGCATTATGCTGGACCAGTTGACTCTATCAGCTCAAATGCAATCCTACAGATCTCTGTTTGTGAAAGCAAATCTCTGCAGGGAAAAAAGTCTGTGCAGGATCTGTTTTAGAAACATTTCCAGTGGAATCTATGACACATCAAATGTGTTTTTTTCCTGGGAATATCTCATGAGGCCCGAAGCAGTCATCTGTGAGGGTTTCTGCATCTGCTCGGAAAGATCGGAGCCTTTGCCAGCACAAACACAGCCAGAACTTGCTGCGTCACCGAGATTTGATTTCTGTTGTGGATGCAACACTGATTTGTTGTTTTCACAGAAACAAACTGGCTACCTTATGACTGTGCGTATCAAGTTCAGCAGAAAGTCATAAACTGAGATGGTTTATTGCATAATTACTGGATGTTTAAATTAAATGTTTCATAACAGCTGATTTATTGTTTGGGATCTTTCCTGCAGTGTGCCAAGGCATCACCAACCGCTTAAACCTTCTAGGCTCTAAAGACGACCACTACCTGAACTTGGTGAAGACTTACAGCAACTGCACCGTGGTTCTGGAGAACCTAGAGATCACCTACATGGAGCAGCACCGAGACTTGTCCTTCCTCAGGGTAAACATTTTCAAAGTTTGTCCTGAATCTCTCAAGGCTCTCGTTTTCATTTTGGTAAAGTTCATTAAAACCAGTTGAGAATATGTGAGTATAATTGTTCAGTGTGTTTATGATCCTCTGGTTGGAGTGTTGCTTAAAGCCAGAGGTTCTGAGCACTGGACAGATGTAATAAAGGACCACACACACACACACACACACACACACACACACACACACACACACACACATATTCGTAACAAGCACTCAGCAGATACAGTGCAGTCATTTTTAAAGGGGCTTTTTGGCGTCTTGTTTGTGTCGTCTTCATGTTTCTCTTCACTTGCGGCACCAGTTCAGGAGTCATAAATCAAAGGAGAAGTTTACAAATTTGCCAGTGGACTAGCAAGGCGTGCTTTATGAGTTTTTTTTTTTTGTTTTTTTGTTTTTTTTTTTTTTTTTTTGAACTGACTGACTTGTACACAAACTTACCCAAGTTTGGACTGTGGAGCACAAAAGCTGATTGCACATGGCAATACCTGCAAATTTTTTTCAGTTTAGTTGTTTGTTTAGGGGGAAGAAATATTTTAACCTTTATCACCTAAAGTTATTTCCAAGACAGGCAGTTCTTTTTTTTCCACAGATGCTTTTAATTTCATTTGTCATTCTTTAATTTTTTTAACCAATAAAATGCTTTTTTTCTGCATAGTTTTCTGGGATCAGCTATTGTCCCAATCCGTCCCTGACGCTCACCCATCAGACTTTATAACCAGCTAGCGGCTCGCAGTTGGCATTTTGGTTTACTTATCACTCTGGACTATCCATCGGCTGGTTTTAACATTGGAATATCACTGGTTTGAAAAAGTAATCTGTCTGAAAACCCACTCTAATCACATTCTGGCTCAGTTTTTGAGAGCTTGTGAAGATAAAATCCAACCATTTCTAGTGACCAAACTCTTCTTTAAAAAGACAGAAGAAATTCCTCTACCTCTCGCAGACAGAAACACGTTTTTGAGTTCTAGGCATTATCGAAGTGCAGGCTAGATAAGATAGAATTCACTTCTTCATAACTGAAGAGACTGCACTTGCCACTTGCAACTCAAAGAGAGCGGATGTTAGTGTTTGCAGTCCAGGGGAGGAGGGAGTCAGACGTGACACTACCTGGATGGGGAGGGGCAGTGTATGAGGATGTAAAACTTTTCCACACAGACGTTTGCAATAGGTCAGCAGGCCTGTAGAGGCTCTCCAGCTCTAAGAGAAGAATACATGCTTGAAGCCTAGAAGCGCATCGGGGTGATTTTCATGAGGAATTATCAATGAAACATGGTCAAGAGCTCCAAAAACGTAAATTTTGCACGATATAGGCCCTTTAAAATACTCAAAATCTTTTAATTTCTATTCTTATTTTTAACTCAAATTTTTAATATTTCATCTGTTTATGAAATTTTATAATTTTATTACTTTATTTTTTCTGATGTTAATCAGATTCTGTTTTGAGAGCATTTTGATTTTATGATGTTAATCTATTTCTGCTTCGAAATTATTATGATTTTATGACTTTTTTTGTTTTGTTTTGATCTATGTGAAACACTTTGTGATTCTATGTCTGTGATAAGTGCTGTATAAATAAAATGTACTTACTTACTAATCAGTTTTATGAACAAAAAATGTTGATAGGGTTCTTCTTCATTCTTGGAGGTCATTGATCACTTGGGTCACTTTTCTTGTTTTCCATACTTACATTCATAACATTTGTCTGAATAGGAAATTTTGCAAAGGAATAGGACTTGCAGACGTTGTCAGATTTACAATCCAGTTAGTTAAAGTGGATGTTTTTCTTTAAATGTTGCTGTAATCAGTGCAGCAATTCCACCATGGCAGATGCATTCTAGTTGTCTATTTCCCTTAAAGACGACCTGGTGATTTTTATCTTAGGGAACGTGCTAGCCACTCCATTACTGTCAGAAAGCATTGCTGACACGTTCTGAACATGTGTTATAGATCATTATCCTGCAGGTAGAATGACACCAGCCCCAATCACTACCTGTCCACAGGGTAGAGCAGTTCCACACCTTCAAGAGTCTTTTTTTTTGTAGCATACCAAAATAAACGGCCTGCAAAGAAGATCTTTTTTTCTGACTGCAAATAAACAGCTTCTGATGCTTAATGTAGTGAACTATAAACTCAGCAATATTTAAAGAGTAAGAGCTGTCAGGCTGCAGATCGCCAAAATTGTTGTTTATTTATTTATTTATGAATGCAAATTTAAAGAAATCACTATTTAAATTGATTTGTTTCTTGTTCTGTCAAAGTCTGCATGTCCTGTTATTTCCTGTTCAGGATAATGTTTAATTGCTTTTTGATGGAAAACAAGAAAATTTCCATAATCTCACAAATTGTAGCAAAAAGTTTAATTTGCCAGTTTTAAGAGTTCTAGCCTTTCATCATACTTAAGAATATTTACCTCATTTGCAGAGAAGATTTTTTTTACATTTCAGGCTAAAAATAAGATACAATTTATCTTTTTATTTTTATTTTTTTTAAATAATTGTTTGCAGTGCACCTCCTCCACCTTGCCGGCAAATTGGTCTTCTGCATGAATTTATGATGCACAGATTATCACAAAATCTATCATTGCACAAGTATGCACCATGAAAATTATTAGATTTAGTTAATGTTCATTAGTTTTAACTCTAAAATGTACTTGGATATAATGGCATTGCCATAAAAAGTGCATTTTTAATAAAATATCTGGATTTTTTTTGCAAAGCTTTTGTATAAATGATTGTAAATACAAGAAATAACACCAACTTGTCTAAATTGTCTTCAGCTTTTTCACTAACTGAAAATCTCGTGACTTTGCACATTGATTTTATTGTTAACAACTATTTTTCCCTCTTTTATTAACCTCTGCAGTCTATTGAAGAAGTGAGTGGTTACGTCCTGATCGCCCTCAACACGGCATCCCGGATCCCTTTGGAGAACCTGCGCATCATCCGAGGGCATTCCCTCTATGAGGGAGCATTCGCGCTATCCGTGCTTGCCAACTATGAAAAAACAACAGGTCAGGGCACCACCGAGCTGCTTCTGACCAGCCTGACAGGTAACTACAGCCCCAAATGTTTATGTTTGCATTTAGGTTTACGTTTATTGAACTCACATTTCATGTCCTGATGCAGAAATTCTTAAAGGAGGTGTAAAGTTTAGAAACAACCAGATATGTAACGTGGAGACAATCCAGTGGTTTGACATCATCAATACCGAATCCAAACCCAGTATGGAGCTTCCAAAGGCCAGCAGCAACTCGCTCTGTAAGTGTCACGGCTCACAATTCTGAAGTAGACTTCTGAAAATGTATTTATGTGCTTTAATGTTTCAAATAAACACACAATGGGTCGTTTGTTTGTTTTCTAGGCAGCAGATGCCACACAAGCTGCTTTAATGGTTCATGTTGGGGACCTGGTCCGCAAAACTGTCAGACCTGTAAGCTTTAGGTTTTATTCATGATGCAGCAGTATCAAGTCATATAAAACCCTGTTATTTTAAAGGTGTGGTTCACTGAAAAAACATTGATTGTTTCCAATTATAATCAGTCACTCTGAGTTTTTCATGCAGGCTGAACATGAAAACAGTCTCCTACACCTATCTCCTGTACTAGCTTCGGATAGAAAATAGATGGTGAAACTCTAGGATTTGAAAAGCCCGACAGATCTACATCACACTTTGTGGATATTCGTGGACTCACCCATCTTTACTCATGACGGTAAAGGCTGTTGCTGTTTTAGCGTCCAGGAATCAGCAGACAGCGTCCCGACTAGTCAAGCTAACCGTTAGCATTTGCAACTCCACCACACAGAAGAACTCCTCCAGGCTTGTTAGTTGGAGATGAAACATCCATGTTGCAAGTCAGTGGTAGAGTCGCGTTTCTGTTATCAAATCCAAGGTAAGTTGTCCAAATATCAGGAAGTAATACTTAAAAACCCGTCGTGTTCTGCTACTCTGCAGCAGCAGACTTGTCTCTGCTGATCCAAGCGTTTCTGGGCTTTTTTGCCCCAAGTACCGCTTGCAAGGCATTCATTCCTAATAGAGACCTCTGCAAATGCATTGATTAAATAAGTGAACTACACCCTTAAAGCATTTTTCACTTGACTGGTTATTTGACACCTTGAAATGATAAATGCCATCGCATCTTGTAATCACATCAAACATGTAAGGATTTTAAAAACGGAAACAGAAAATGACTTCCTGTAATGGATCAACCCCACTCTCGTCTCCAGTGACTAAGCTGAACTGTGCACAGCAGTGCTCTAAGAGATGCAAAGGACCTTCACCCAGCGACTGCTGCAACGAGCACTGTGCAGCAGGGTGCACGGGGCCCAGACCTACCGACTGTCTGGTGAGGATAAATAATGAGTACAGACACACACTTCCATTAAATCTGCTCATAACTCTCCTTTAAAACAAAACCCTTCTCTAAGCAACGTCTGTTTTTAAGATCTGAGATATTGTTTTTAGTTTTTAACACCAGCGAGACGCGTAAATGCTGATTAAATATTTTTATTTGGCTGGGACCTTGAGTATCAGCGTCTGCTCTCCCTCTCGCTGCTGCTTTGAGAACTAAGCCAAAGCTATGAAAGAGGAATGCAGTGTTATCATTAGAAAGAGGCTCTGTTTTGGTCCCGGCGAGCTAGATGACTGTTTGTGCTGCAGGCCTGTCGGGACTTCCAGGACGACGGGGTGTGTAAGGACTCCTGCCCGGGCCTCATGCGCTATGATCCCAACCAGCACCAGCTGGTTTCTAACCCACATGGAAAGTACAACTTTGGAGCCACCTGTGTGAAGAGTTGCCCACGTAAGCACAATAAAAAAAAGGGACTAATTTGCTTTCGCTTTTTTGTAAAACGTTACTTTTATTTCCCAGCAGAAATGCTTGCATTGACAGAAAATTATGGATTGCAAAAAATGGCACCATGAGGGTTTTCTGCAAATTGGCCCAGGATGTTCTTTGGGGTTGTTTTAAAGGTTACAGTTTGTTCAAGTTTAATTATAAACTTCCAAAACAAGGAAGGAAATGATTGAATTTCAGGGTGTGTTAATGCAACATCCCATCTCTAGAAGTTTAACAGTTTTTGTTTGTTGCTCCATCTGATGTATGACCTATGATGTTCCTTGTTGTATAACTCATTCTCATTTTAATCTTTTAATTCTCTTTCTTATTATAGAAAAAAAGATACAAATTCCCCACTGAGGGACAAATAAAAGCATTCTTAACTCATACAAGCAGTTACAGGAAAATCATAGAAAAATTTTATTTGTTTCTGTAAATTTTCTAGTTTTCCTTCTGACCTGATCTCATTCTTTCTAGATAATTACGTTGTGACTGATCACGGCGCATGTGTGCGGACGTGCAGCGGCAACACATACGAGGTTGATGAAGGAGGAGTCAGGAAGTGTGCCAAGTGTGATGGACTGTGCCCAAAAGGTCAGAGGTTAAGCTGTTTCTGTGCAGTTCTACATACACTTCATATATATATATATATATATATACACTGGACAGATCATCTGCTCACAGAAAAGCACATTTTATAAACCTGTCACTAAAAAGTAAAGACAAACATCTACCAAAGAATGATTTGGCATACCTGTAATCTAAATTATTGCTATATTTATTTTAAAATGCATTAAAATAGCAAATATTAAAACCCAAATAGATAAAGCAATAATTACCATTTGTGGTCCTCTACCATGAAACCTGTAATGGCTGATGCATGAACTAATAATCAGAAAGCTGATCATTTTTACAGTTGACGAATTTTAATATAGCAAAATACCTTTGGATTATATTTTATTGTATAGCTATATAATAATGCAGTAATAAAAAAGATAAATAAAATTGGCACTCATTGCATGCAGTACTCAGGCTCTCCACCAGAAGGCAGATAACTTGCATAGTAAGGGTGTGTGTTGGAGAGATTCTGGTGATTCAGTTTATATCACAATAAATCACATTTAGGTTTAGGTTTGGTCTCGGCGCTCATGATGAGGACTTAGTATTTAATCTTCTGAACTGTTTTCAGTATGCAACGGGATTGGCTCGGGGGAGCTGACCCATGCCCTGTCCATCAATGCCACCAACATTGGCTCCTTCAAAAACTGCACCAAAATCAACGGCAACATTGCTTTAATTCATACATCAATTCACGGGTAAGTTTGTTTTTAATCTCGGCCTCTCTGCTAACTGCTATTCCGTTGCTTCACTTCTCTGCTCGTCTTTGATTTGCAGAGATCCCTTCACCAAAACACCAAAGATGGATCCTGCCCAGCTTGATGTGTTTAAAACTGTTAAAGAAATTACAGGTTAGATCATGGAAGACATGAGCAATCGATGACACACTTTCACACGCCTCCTCATTTAACACATCATGTGTTCCTTCAGGATATTTGTGGATTCAAACTTGGCCAACTAGCATGAATTCTCTCAGCCCCTTTGAGAATCTGGAGATAATTCGAGGAAGAACAAAACGGTATGTTCCCTGTAAACACCCGCCTCCCCCAAAGTAATCTATAAAGCACGATTTATTTTTTTAGTGCATCATCTGAGAAGTTTCTTCTGTTTAAATAGTCATCAAACTTTTGTTTTCCCATTGGACAGAGGTGGCCGCAGTCTGGTTGTGACTCAGCTCGATATCGACTACTTGGGCCTACGATCCCTTAAAGAAATCAGCGACGGAGATGTGGCGATCCTTAAGAACCAGAACTTGTGCTACACTAACAAAAACCACTGGACTGGACTCTTTATATCAGCAAAACAAAGTGCCACAGTGGGAGAAAACGCTAATGCTACCTCTTGCGGTGAGCTCCCTGCTGCCTTGGAAACATTTTGTTATGAAATCTCCAAGCTAATTTCAAAACAGAGCAATTATTTAAATCTCTGCTCGAAATTATCTGTCTGGTTTGCAGCTTTGTGTGACAGGAAGTGCACGGAGGACAGCTGCTGGGGGCCGGGCCCGGGCATGTGTTTCGCCTGCCGTGACTACAGCCGCGGTGGGAGTTGTGTTGACTCCTGCAACATCCTGGAGGGGTAAGGAGGGATTCAGGGTTCCAGTCCCTGTTTTTTGAAGCGCCAAAATGTCCTGCCTTTCATTTTAAGCAAACAAGAAGTCAAAAACATCACATCTGTGTCCTCTATATTTCACTTCTTCAAAGTCTGTTTTCATTCCCAGTTCAGGTCTTTAGATAAATGTGAGGATTACTGAGAGAAAGGCTGTGATCTTAGGTATTGTTGAAGTTAAATTTCCAGTAGATGTAAGACAAACATTGTTGGAGAAATGGCACAAACTCTGTTTATCTGTGAAAATATTTGTCAAACATTGAATCTTGACATGCTTACAGTTTAACTTTACCCTTTTTCTTTTTTGCACAAAGAGTCTGTCAGCTTTGCTATTGTTTTTCTGCAGAGATCAGCGGGAGGCGGTCGTGAATAAAACCTGCGTGGAATGTGACCCAGAGTGTCTGCACATGAACGGGACTGCGACCTGCAGGGCGCCTGTATGTGTCACCCTAAAGCTCTGCAAAATTCACGCTGAGCCTTGATGAACAGTATCTCAGTGTTTGTGTAGCATGAAATCCCTCCTAAACGTTTTCAAGCCTTGGATTTCTTCATCTGCACAGACCATAATGCTGCTTAGCCACAAGACATGTTGTGTTTTGAATAACGGGTGTGTCTGCGAGATGAAGTTTGCCAACTGTCTTCCTTATTATCCTCATCACTCTGTCTGAGATTGGGACAAGTTTAGACCCCTTTTTTTAAAACAAAAATGCGAGAAGAAAAGCTACTAAATGTGCAAAAGACGTGCAGGAGGACACCGTTGTAAACCCAAATAATCAATTGTGCTGCTTTTATTGCCATTTTCCTCTTTGTGTGGATGCAGCTTCCTTTTAGAAGTTATCACTCTCAGAAGGGTTATAAACCTAGTGAGTTTTCTTTTCCTTTTTATTTACTCCCAGGGATCTGGAAACTGCACTAAGTGTGCCAACTTCCATGATGGATTGTTCTGTGTGTCCCGCTGCCCCCAAGGCGTGCTGGGAGAGGATGACACCCTGATGTGGAAATACGCCGACGAGAAGAGAGTTTGCCAACTGTGCCACAAGAACTGCACCCAGGGGTAAACATGGCCGACGAGAACAAGCCAGCTCTGCATTTCTGTGTTGCAAATATTTATCTTTTTTTAAACATTTTCAGAAGTATGAACCCTTCGGTCAGTTGAGATGTCTAAAATGAAACGATTTGGTGGAAAAGCTGGAAATAAGAATATTCCTGTATACTCCTGCTTTTGTATATTCTCTGTTTCCATTGGTTACTGTTTGTTTTTATTTTATTTATTTATTCTCTTGTTGCAGTATTTAATTTTACTGGTCTGTACTCCACTTAAGAAACAAAACCGTAATGATTCAACCCAGAACTGATGTTTTCTGAGCCCCACACTGTGGCATGGTGGCACATCCGGGTGAATGAGAAGGAAACGGTTCTGAAAACCCCTCAAAACCACCGAAAGCTGTCACATTAACCAGCCACGTCTGGTAGAGTCTGGCTACCTTTTTTTACACAGGAAAATACGATACGTATTTCAAAGTACCTCAGTATAGTTTGATGTTTTATGAATGCTTCAGTTGAAAATTTGGAAATAAATAGTTTCCAGCTGATCTGGTTTAGTATTTAGTTTTGTACAAAATGACAGAAACTTGAACCGTTTTGCTGGCAGAAGTGAAATCAAACCTGTCAGAAAATAAAGAAGTGTAACAGAACAAATTGACATTTGCAAAGCAGTGTTTAGCTTCTCTTGGTGTGTTTAGAGTGAAAGAACAGAATACTAACATGAAATATTTTCTGTTCAAAGGTGTACAGGTCCTGGGCTCGAAGGCTGCCACATTAAAAGGTAAGTGGTTGCTCCAGCGAGGCGTTACTCATCAAGCTAAAACAATAACACCACCGATCTGCAGCCAGATGGAGGAAATCCAACATCCTTGTTAACCCCACCTCAGGAGTGGTAGACAAACATTGATCGTTCCAAGAGCAGCATGTTGAGTCACAAAGAAACCGCTGCAGCAAAGTTAATGTTCATCATCATCTTCAGTACAATCTGTGAAACACTATTTGTAGTGAAATAATCAGTTTTGCATGTTTTAAAGTAGAAAAGCGAGTGATGCAGGAAGATGCCAGGTCCAGAACAATATGCAATACAACAAAACACACATGAAAGTTAAAGCCCCATTAGTTGTCAAGTCTGTGTGAAATTTGTTCCCCACATTTGACCCATCCTTTGGGGGAGCGGTGACCTGCAGACACAGCCGCGCTGGGGAACCATTTGGCATTTTAAACCCCCCAATCAAACCCCTAATGCTGAGTGTCCAGCTAAGAGGCATTGGGCCCCATTTTTAAGGTCTTTTGTATGGCCCGACCATGGAACCCACCATCTCCCAGTCTCAGGGCGGACACTCATACCACCAGGCAAAAGACCTGCCAGCATCTCAAAGTTCAACTTGATTTGTAGGCTGGTCTACAGATAGGAGAAACCTTCTCACTCATATTATTGTTGTAGTTTAATGGCGTTCTCTATTTACTTTTGGGCTTTGTGGTGCAATCTGCTCATGTTTCATTTCAAAGATTAGCAAAAATGTAAAATATTCTGCATATGAGGCCTAAATAGATGATGAAACAAACTCTATTGCATTTATATTATTGTCCTTCTGTCCTGAAGCCCCTCAGGTCTGTCCATGATTGCGGCTGGTGTTGTTGGCGGGCTTCTGGCCGCTCTGATCGCAGGCCTGTCTGTCTTCGTGTTGCTCCGCCGCCGACACATCAAGAGGAAGAGGACCATGCGCAGACTTCTCCAAGAGAGAGGGGTGAGCGCAGGTGCTCGTATAGCACAAAAAAATTAGAGGTTTTATTTAAAACCTGTTTTTTCCTCTCTATTTCTAGCTTGTTGAGCCGCTCACTCCAAGCGGGCAGGCTCCAAACCAGGCTCTGCTGCGGATCCTGAAGGAACCGGAATTTAAGAAAATGAAGGTTTTGGGATCAGGAGCTTTTGGGACAGTTTACAAAGTAAAAATTATTCATTCTACATGTAATGCTTGTTATTCAGGTAGTTTTTTCTTTAGGCTGGTGCTCACTAGGACTGAAAGTCATACCAACACATGTTTTCAATCTTTCACTTAGAACATGCATTTTTAACTCGGCACGTCACGCATGAGTGGCTGCACTCTCGCTGTTGTAATAACCACATCCAGGGATACGGGTTAAGCTTTTATTTGTTAAAAATTTAAGGAAGGAATTCAGATAGAATTGAGGTGTCTGTGTTTCTAGTCGATGTGTAAACCTTAAAAGTGTTATTGCAAAAAATCCTGTTCAGATCAAATGAAACTGTGTCTCTGAAGGGTCTGTGGGTGCCAGAGGGAGAGGATGTGAAGATACCGGTGGCCATCAAGGTTTTGCGAGAGGCCACTTCTCCAAAAGCCAACAAAGAGATCCTGGATGTGAGTTCAAAGTTCGCTCATTTAAACCAAACTTTCTGGTCTGTGTGGTTACAGTGATGATTCATCTGAAATGTTATTCCCGCTGCTGAGAGTCTGGAAATGAGATATTTGTGTTTTTCTAAGTAATTATCAAAATACCTTTACTTTATGGTGAAGAAGGGCCCAACTTTTTAGCTTCAAGTGCTGCACAAAGGGATTGTTGCTTGCATGCTGGACTCTGCTTTCATGTTGGTGCTGTTTATAGCTCACGGAGCTTTGTTCCAAACTGACATGCTCTTGTTTTCTTTGTAATGGAGAATGTGCCACGCTGAAAAGAGAATGCCATGCGCTGTTTTGGGGAAATGGGATTAATTCATTTGGGAGTGATGGTGTTGCTGGTGTGTAATCTGAGAAGGAGGGGTGCAGCTTGTTCTAAATGCATCGCTGCAATCAGACAAACGTGCATCAGTCTCATCCTGTAAACTTTTCTTGGGATTATTTTATAAATGAGAGGAAACCTCAGTTTAAATATCTGTTTCTCCTGCAAGAAACCAACTTTTTCTGCTTTTGTCCTGGCCTGTGTCGATAATCCCAGTGTATTCTCAAAGCAGATTTTCTGGCAACAAAATAAAGCTGGCTGTGTAAAATACGTATCCACTAACAGTCAGCATCCCGCAGACAGTTCTCGAGCTATCTGCTGCCTGGACATTAACATGCACATATCCTCTTTTATTGTTTAAAGTGGCAGTGTGTAATTTCTTGCCACTAGGGGGCAGTACATACATTTCATGGTAGTTTCCCTGTTGTTTCTGGATCTACTTGGGGTGCTGCATCTGCTGATGATGTCATACTACAGCAATACCACTCAGCCAAAATATATTGCATCTCTTTGTCGATTCTGTTCTTTCACATAGGTTTTGGAAAGAGTTTAGCAGTTTTGTTATAAAATTCATGTTTCTTACAGTCGTACGTCCACCCAATCATATAGTGTGACATCATCAACGGGCGCAGGACCCAGAGCTGGAAAAGTGCGTGCCTGCCGAAATGTGCATCCCTGTTGTGGGAAGGCGCATATGAGTAAAGACGCAGCTTTGTAATAAATTTGTATTAATAACATGTTTGTTATTTCCATGCTTCCTTACAAAATGATGGTTCTGACTGCCATATGCATCGCTAAGAAAACTATCCTCATGAATTGGAAAAATAGAGATACCCTTTGCATTAACCAGTATAGAAATATTTATGTTAGATCATATTGCACTTGATACACCCTCTGCTTCCACGTCAAGTCAATCTCTTTGGGCTCCTTTGATCGGTTCCATCACATAGCGATGATGGGTGGGGGTGGGGGGTGGGGGATGGGGGGGTTGGTCATTGATATTGTCCTGCGGGCTGATATGGGTGATGGGGTGGAGGGTCTGAGTTTGGAGTATCTGGACATTCCCTGGAGGTGGGTTCACTGGGGGGGTGTCTGAGGCTGGGGGGCTGCTGCCCCCTCTGGAGGTGCTTGGGTTGCCTCGGGGGGGTGGGGGGGGGGGGGGGGGGGGGGGAAGACGACTGACAGTTGTGAGTGGGGCCCCTTGGGGGCCTTGGCAGCAGCCATGGGTTGCTGCTTGGTGGCTGCATTGCCCCTGAATGGGTCTGAGTGAGGGCCTGGGGGCTCGGTGCGTGGGGGTCAGGTCCTGACATATATGCTGCCGGGAAGAAGTCGGGAACATGTGGCAGTGCCTGGCCCAGGCTCAGGGGCCTCAAGTAGACCTTGGCTCCTCTGTTGTCCCATCATGGGGGAGGGGGATGTCCAGGAAGGGGAGGACCCAACCTTACCTGGATGTCCTATGTCTTATATATTCTGGAAGCTGTGTAAATGCAGGTATGGGAGTAGATATCCTGCTGGGGTGGGGCTGCATTGATTCCCTCAGAGTCTGTGGAGCTCTGCGATTCTGCTACTTTGGGTCCTGGCAAGATGGGCTGGGGTCTCCATGCCCTGGGTGGCATTTTGGCAATGGAGGGGCCTATTGGGGCCTGTGGTGGAGCTGGCTCCCTGGATGGCCTAGGCACAACCAACCATTCCTCCCCATCCCCACACATTTTTCTTCTCCTGCTCCCTCACATCATCACACAAACATGTACACAGGACCTTGGGGGGTGGACAAGTCAGGGGGTGTGGGTATGGACCCCATTTCCACATTCCTGTGGCAGACTGCCCCCCAATTTTATTTGCACATTAAATACCAATGACATTCCACGCAAACACACACTTAGGGCTTCGGGAGTGAGCACATTCAACAGCATTTGGCAAGGGGATCTTTTAGCCTCATCCCAAGTGCCGGTGCCCATTTCCAATTTTAAACTGCACTTAGACACAGAGGACTGTGGGGGGAAGAGGGGTGGTGTGGTGGCATCAGCTGGCGTAGGCCAGACGATGCCTGCACTGCCCGCTCACCACAGCCATGGAATACACCTTATCAACACGTACCAACACTGTATTGGAGCAGGCAGAGGGTGACTAGGGGTCTTAGCACACCTCTGTTGTCGCTTGGCTTCCCAGGGCTGGAGGCTAGGAGGGGGATCTGGTCGTCTGGCTGGGGTCTGGGGTGGTGGGTCGCTTTGCTCGGCGTTGGGTGAGGGAGCCTGCTCATCAGCACCCCAGCAGGAAGGGTCGAACTCAGGGAACCGGTGATGGTTGTACCCTTTGTGCAGCAGTACCAGGACCAGAATGAATAGGGTGTGTATGGGGAGCATGAGTGGGTGTCTGTCGTGTATTTTTGTGAGTCTTAGGTTGTATGTGTATGTGACAGCATGAGGGAGGGAGTGTGTGACTGCGTATGTCAGGTAGGGCCTTTGACTCCTCCCCTCTCCTGGGACTTTTTTTTGCTGCTACACATCTTCGCCTCCTCTCTCCCTTTCACGCTTGGTGTGGAGTGCAGTGCCTTGGTCTGCCTGAGTGTTCATGGTTCTCGGGCCAGGGGGTTTAAGATTTTTGGCGTCTGCCTGATTATTCTCGGTGGCTGCCTGGTGGGATCTGGGTTGCTGGGCTCTCTTGGGTCCCCGGCGGGGCTGGTCGCCTCTGGGTCCCGAGTTGCTGGGTTCCGGGCTCGGCCAACTTGGGGGTGGGAGGATATGGGCGGTCTCTGTGGGCTTGCCGCTGATATCCCCCGGGTCTCTGCCGGCTGCTGGTTGTGACCCCCGGGGTGATCCTCTGCGCCACTTGAGGGGGGCAGGGGCTTTTCTGGTTGCAGTCTCCCTGGGATCCCTGCGCTCTGGGGCAGCTCCTGGATCTCTGAGACTTGGAGCTCCTTCCATCTCCTACACATCTTTGGGGGGCAGATCTGTGGCCCCTCACAGTCTCTATTGGACGCTCCTATAGAGAAACCTTACATAAACAAGCGCGTGTACACACACAGGTGCTCACATGATGCTCTCATAAGTATGGACTTGGGCACGTTCAACACATGTCTTAAGGCTGTGGTTGGCACTTAATGCACTGTGATTTATTATTGTTTGATTGTTCAGTTAAACAATGTTGATTTTATATTTCCTCATCAGGTTGACGCAGTGATTGTTTGCTCCTGTTGTATTGTTGTGTGTTGTTTTTCTTTGTTTCCCTCCTTCAGCAGGTCTAGAAGCAGGCTCTTGTTCATCATTGATTGTTTATTTTTGTGGATGTTTTTAAATTGATAATATTTACGTCTTAATGTTCATTACAGGAGGCTTATGTGATGGCCAGTGTTGAACACCCCCACGTGTGTCGTCTGCTGGGCATCTGTCTCACCTCCACGGTGCAGCTCATTACCCAGCTGATGCCGTACGGCTGCCTCCTCGACTATGTCAAAGAAAACAAGGACAGCATCGGCTCGCAACACCTGCTCAACTGGTGTGTGCAGATCGCCAAGGTAGGAGGAAGCTCAGGAAGGAGTTACTCAACACAACTCAAGTTTTGGTTTTTTAATTGTTTTCATTTCTTAAAGTTCAGCTGTTGATGAGGGCTATAACTCAGACTGGTATAAAAGAGCTTATATTGCATGCTTTGTCTGATTAAAGGGTATGAGCTACCTGGAGGAGCGCCATTTGGTGCATCGAGACTTGGCAGCTAGAAATGTTTTGGTGAAGACTCCTCATCATGTCAAGATCACCGACTTCGGTCTGGCCAAGCTCCTCAACGCAGATGAGAAAGAATACCACGCTGATGGTGGAAAGGTTGGTCAAAGATGTGTTTAACTCTGAATGAAATATGTTTTTTTTTAATTTACCGAGTTGCCTCATAAAAGTGTGTTGGAGCCTTCTGCCACTGGGTGGCATTTACAATCTGTGCGACAGACGGTGGAGGATTTGAAATTAATTTAGGAAAGTGCTGCGGTTCCTGAGTCCAAACTGTCACGAAGATATTAAATGAATAAATCATTTTTATAAGTTTTAACAGATAATTCCAACAACAACTTAAATTTTAATCTGCTAGATATGTAAAATTATAATCCCATTCAGATTTTTTTTTTCATTTTCATTCATTTGTTTATTGAATTAGGACAATGCATATTGATCAACATGTTAGCAGAAGCATCAATGTAGCCATGCCAGAATTAGCTCAATTGCTAATTTGCATCCGCAGTCATAAAACTCGTATGCATTATAATTACATACAGTAGATCACAAAGACTATTGCATTTATATGAAATACATAAAAAAGAAACAAAGAAAACATATGGCTGGATTATACATTGGAGCAGGGCTATTTTTAACCACTGTTTTAATGTTTTCTTATAAATCATAATGTTTCTCATGGGATCTGGTATTTTATTCCATGAGTGTGCCCCTCTGATGGACACCACCATCTGGCTGAATTCAGTCCTGCGCCGCTGTATGCAACAGTCCACCATTATTACAAGAACAAAAATCTCCCATTCAGCCCGCAATGAATCCTGGGATAGCCTTTGCGAGTAAGGGATCACCAGACCCGTCCTTGAAATTCGGGGAGAACTAGGATGCATTTCGAGTATCCTTCTAATTTGGATAGCCTTGTCACTTTGCTGTGACTTAATCAGCCTTAAAATGTGTGCTCAGAAGGATGCAACCCCTGGATTTGGATTCAGCCCTTAAATCAGTAGCATTTTCATTAATGTTTTGCTACTGTGGTGTTCCTTTAGGTACCGATAAAATGGATGGCTCTGGAATCGATCTTGAACAGAACTTACACTCATCAGAGCGACGTCTGGAGCTACGGTGAGTCTGTGTGGTGAATGCATGCCCCACGTCTAACCCAGTCAGGAAAAACTGCAATCACTGTGTTCCAGATTAAGCATGGACCCTTGTGAAATTAGGAAACGTGAACCAGCTGCACTTCTCCTATCAATGACTGTTTGGCTGGAGAAATATTTACCGTACTTGTTGGGTAAAGCATCTTAACAGCGAAGAGCAGAGCGCCTTTTTGAAGCTCTGTGTTGTTTTTGGACCGTACAAAGCCCCTAAACGCCCCCAAAGCCACTAAAACACAAAAGAAAAGAGAGGAGATCCTGTCAGAATCTGTGATTTTAGGACCAGCAGGTTCAGGTGGACAACTTTACAACAAACTCAACTCACAATGGAGTAGCCTACGCACTCACGAAACAAAGAAAAACAAACACAGCACAGGATTTTTGTGAAGCAGGCCTGCTTCCAAATCTCCTTTTCCCGAGGGTTTGATTAGGCCTTCCGCTCAATCTGGCAAAAGCATCAGCAGATGCTGGCAGAAGCCACGGGCTTCCTTTCCTCCTTTCCCCTCCTTCAGTTCCTCCAACACAGACATGCATCCTGTTAACTCCCACTCCTGCACACGCAGCCAATTTGTCAACATTTTGATACTCTGTGATATTTGAGGAGCGCACGTCCTGTCAGCTCATGCTTCTTCCCTTTTTTGTTGAGGGGTAAAACAATGTGAAAGGCAGCTCATCAGAATGACATTTACCATTTGTCGCCACATCTCTGCTGTAGGTGTAACAGTCTGGGAGCTGATGACATTTGGGACCAAGCCATATGATGGGATTCCAGCCAGTGAAATATCCGGAATTCTGGAGAAAGGGGAGCGCCTGCCTCAACCGCCAATCTGCACCATAGATGTCTACATGATCATGGTGAAATGTAAGGATGGAGAGGGGCTTGTAGCTGCTAGAAATTAAAGTTATATCATCCTTATATTAAATGCTTAGTGTTTATGATGAACCTGCACTGGCTGATCACTTTCTTTTTCTTTTTTTTCAAACTTTGATCAATCTTGCTTTTCTTAAAGGGGTAATATGCAAATCTCACCTTTTGCACACTATCGTGCTGCCATGTGTGGTTCTACTGTCTCTATGAACACTCCTAACATGGAAAACAACTCGCCCAACCACTTTTTGACACTGTTTGGTTTTAGGAGTTATTTGCCTAAAATAATCTGATTCAATAAGTCCCTGATTGTTACATCACAAGTGGGATAATTAGCATAAAACATCCTCTCACCTCCCCAGAGTGGAGGACAAGCAACTCTACTCTGACCTCCTCTTGGATATTGGAGCTTTGTTGCTTATTGAACCTTTGCACCTACGTCACCTAATCACGTGGGTCCACCATACTGGGCGGCAAAAGCATGTAAACAGTGAGCGACACAAGTACTAAACAAAGGGAAAAGTAGAGCCTGAAATAGTTTTTGCGATCTTTAGCATTCCCTCTACTAGTTCAAGCCGATGCTTAGTTATCAGAAGAAGTAGCGCACCTAGATGGGGCTCATAGAGAGCGATATTTACAAAAGTTAAGTGTTATTAACTAGCTTACGAACGTTAGCTTAAGTTCTCTCTGCAGCTGTTCACCGATGTAAACAAGCTGCCTACTTTGCCTAAATGCACCCGAATGGATTTATAACATTTTGTTATAAACAGCGTTTCACTTTACACCGAAGCTGATTTAAAAAATGTCCTACTAGTTTTTGTTGCTGGTGGTGTCACCGCGTGTTCAGCTGCTGCTCTCACACCGGGATGAGACAAGATCTCTCTTAACGGCGACGCTTGTACTAAATAACGTAATTTTAACACACGTAATCATACATTGGAGCAATATTGTAATTATCTTGCATTTCACTACAGTGGACGGTACCACGGTACCGCTAGTCCTTCATGGTGAAATATCCATCTATCAGAAGAACGCATCACGTTTGTCCGTGTCCCCTGTCTTCGTCATGAAATAAATAAACATTAATCTTACCCGGTAAAAACACGTTTGCTGTAAACCTGAGGGCTGTTAGTCCGTTTGATTGATCGCTGCAGTTCATCTCCGTCCTCAGTCTCGATCCGCGTTATTTGAAAAAATAAATAAATAAATAACGAGTTGACTTTACATCCTTGTCTGTTAGTGCAGCCAGCCACATAGCAAGTTTTTACTGTTTCACTGTGAAACCAACTAAATAAAAGCGATAAAAGGCTACAAACTGGCTTGTTTTGACTAGCTTCACCAGAGTTTCAACGTGTGTAAATGGTCTTTTTGCCATCCATCATGGCGAACGGGGCGGTCCCATGAGTGGCGTGATGTCACGTGCAAAGGGTAAATAGCAGCTTGAGCGGGAGATGGGTGGGTGTGGCCAGCTCCAACTTGTTCTTTAAAGTTTAGAGTCCTGAAGCAGCTCATTCTGGAAGGTACTGAAAATGTCAAGAATTAAACTATTGATATAGCTTTGTGTGAGATGGAGTTGGATCAAAGCACTTCATAAATATCTTTTGTGTTGACCATAGGACTATTAATCTCAAAGGTGCAGTATGAAAGAATATTGTGAGAATTTTATTGAGAGAAAATCCCAAAAGAGTCTGTTTCAATCAATTTGAAAGGAAGGTTATACTAAAACATATTTCATATCCAGCTGGCTGTGGGGATTGTCCATTTTTCTCCTTTCAAAACAAAGAAAGGAGGGACGTAACCACTGTTTACCATCAGTGAGCATGGGGTTGTCGTGTCTCCTGTGAGCTAATACTGCAGCGCCGACAACTGTAAATTGACGATGGCTGGCAAAAAACTCCTGAGTGGTTTAAAGTGGTTGCAGTAACCAGTCATTTTTACTTCATTTCTACATAATGCGCCTTAAAAAAAGGCACGTGTCTCCTTTTGAACTGCCAATACTTCATCAAATAAATAACCTTGACTACCTCCATCATGCAGGTTGGATGATCGATGCAGAAAGCCGGCCTCATTTCCGAGAACTAATATCCGAATTTACAAAGATGGCTCGAGATCCGTCCCGATATCTTGTCATTCAGGTAAAACTCAGAGTACCTAAATCTGCAGGAAGTTAAAGGATGAAAAGATGTATAGGAACCATAAAACTTTTCTGTTCCAGGGTGATGACCGTATGCACCTACCAAGTCCTACAGACACTACGTTCTACCGCAGCCTGATCAGCGGGGAGGACATGGAGGACGGTGTAGATGCAGACGAGTACCTGGTGCCTCAGCACAGATTCTTCAGCAGTCCCAGCACCTCCTACACCCCGCTGCTCCACTCTACGGTGAGTTCCTGTGCTCAGAAGAGTTTCAAATACCTGTTTGTCAGCTTTAACCCTTTGATGCATAATGGTCACTACAGTGGACAGGTACTCAAAATTGTTACTTTTGCTATTAAGCACAGCTGTTGAAGACTTTATTGCGTGTGAGCCCCTCCATTTGGGCTTCAGCAAGTCAAGCCAACATATTTCATGTTCAGAATGCACGCTGTCCACTGAGATGGACGTGTAATAAATTATTTGTAAATTAACAAAATGTTACAAAAAAAATTTGTTGAAATTTGTTTCATTCACACCTAAAAATGAATGAAAAAATTTGTTTAAAAAATCATGGTTGAAGATTTCATAATTCATGCATCAAAGGGTTAACATGTTGTATTTTGATTACAAATTGTTTTCTTATCTTGAATAAACTTAAATTAATGAGGGAGCAATATGCCCTCAGACAATTCCAGCATGTTTTGCATTTTGCTAAGTCCATCTGCCACAAGATGGCAGAGTTTTGCTAAAAACCCACCTTGTTTGGTTGGTGATGTTTTGTTTGATCATTCATAGCCTTGTTACAAATCCCAGCAGGTTATTGTTGTGCTTTCATGAAAATAAACCACAAATTTCACATAAAGTTTGAATTCTGGTTCTGCTTTTAGTGCTTTCAGCACAAATCACTATTTTTAATACCGAAACACTAAAAGGGAAAGAAAAAGGGCAGTTTGCAATTATGTAGAAAAAAGCTGCATTAATGGAGAAAGTAGCTGCATTACATCCTTCAGCTGTGCACTCGTTGCCAAGGTGCAGTCAAGCTTTTGAATTTTTAATTGCACGATTTAACCGTAGCCCGTGATCCAGAGTGGAAATGAACACTACCATCTATTAGCTCGTTAGAAACAATTAGCTTGTAATCAAATCAGAAGGGAGAGAACATCAGCTATTAAACTGATGATCATTCTGTACAGAAGATGTGATCCGAGTTACCTGGCCTGAGCCCTTCTGGCTCATAGCTGCAGCCGTTCTGTCCTTACTCCTCCTCATGCCTCTCATCGACCCTCTCCCCACGTTTCCTGCCAGTTGGCCTTTGATTGATGAAGACTGAGTGAGAAAAACTCTTCCTCTTCAGGTTTCGTGAAGGCCAAGGCGTAGGTCTGACTCTTCTAGCTGGAGAATCAGTTTTGATTACCTTCACAGGCAATCAGGAGGAGTTCACACTGGTCTGTTTTTGTAATATCCCTTTTTTATTTATTTATTTTTTATCACAGAGGTTCGCCTCTTCAGCGTCTTCAATTTCCTTCTCATGTAGAAAGTAATTGGATTGCCAGAGCTGTCGCTCTGTTTTCTGTATTTGCTCTCTTTTTATGGTTTTCCGTTCTCTGAGTTAAGTGCTAACAGACATGATGGGAGTAAATCTGATCTGATTTGACCCCCGTAACTGTGTTCTGAAGATCCTTTCTTCTTTTAGACAATCTCCCTGGGACCTTATTAAAAAGAAAAACAATCAAATTAAAAACAATAAGTGTTGATGTCTGTTTCAGAGCCTCAACAGCAGCACTGAAACCTTCCAAAACAGAAATGGTTTACTGGTGAGTTATGAACAAGCTATTAAATCAGTCTTAAATGACGTTCCTTTATTGTAGCCGTGTGACTGAAGGCTTCTATCCCTTTTTGCAGAATGGAGTCCCAAGCCGAGATGGGAGCATGGTTCTCCGCTACATTCCTGATCCCACTGGTAACCCGTTAGACGATGCCTTCCAGCCAGCTCCAGGCAAGTATCCTTCAAATAACATCGCACTCAGTATTAAAACAGTGGTATTGCTCTTTGACCCTGTCCCACTGCCCTTTGTATTTGGCATAGTGAGAAATGGTGTCATCTAGTGGACAAGATGGATTGCATCGTTATCTGATTTTGCTTTTATTTACTGGTTTCTTTAAAAAAAACTATTGGTGCAAATAATAACTGCAAGCGAACAACGTGTTTTTTAGACCTTTTAAAATCAGTTTATTTGTGTGTTTATTAACCTGCTATTCATCATATAGGGAATTGTATCAGTTATAAGAAATTATCTTGAGCGCAGCTCTGATTTGATTACAAATTGGTGATTGATGATAGTCTGGCCACGACACATAGAGAGAGCTCAGTTGTGGGATGGAAGCTACGATTGTCTTTGAAACTGTCTCTGCACGCAATTGGACAATGAACAACGAGACATACTCACCACTACAGATGTCAGTCATTGGGGCGGTCCACCATACACGCAAATAAAACGCAAATACATCCTTTTACTAAATAATGGACTCAAGTACCTCTTTCTGCTCTTGACTCAAAACCATTGCTTCTATGTACTTATATGCTAAGGGTCTGCCCTCAGCAGGGGGGGGGGGGGGGCAAGCATACTGTCAGGGTGGCACTAGCCCACCCTGGACCCCAGACCCCTCAGAACCACCCCTGTTACCCACCTCTAACTGCTGATAACTCACCAAAATGAATAAAAGCAAAAAGAAAATAAAAGTTTATGTGGCACTTAAAAGTATTTGGTTGTCTTATAGACTACATGAACCAGAATGGAGTGTCCAACTTGGCGAATCCCATCTACCAGCGCTCGTGTTCATCTCGCCCTCTCCTTCCCACCATTTCATCAGACGACACTGAGAACGAGTACCTGAACTACTTTAAGACCGGGTCCAACGGTCCTGAATACCTAAACGAGCTCCCGGCCAATGGTGGGGTCCGCGGCGCTCAGAAGTTCCAACCCCACAACAGCATAGACAACCCGGATTACCAACAAGACTTCACTCCCACCTTCAAAACCCACACAAACGGACACATACCTGCTGCTGAGAACTCAGAGTACCTGGGCCCGCACTGAGGACTTTGCGGGATCGGAAGAAGAGAAATAAGACTGTTTTCTGTTCCACTGAGAGAGAGAGATTTCCTATAGCTGGAAACAAATGAATAAGTGCTGTGTTTTGGAGTGTTTTTTTTTTCCTCTCCACCCAACAAAAAGAAGACATTTACTAATTCAAACAAGGCAAACAATGAGTTGATCGTGTCTCAGTTGATGCCAGAGCAGTCAGCCTTTTTAATGTTACCAATACGAGGAAGTGAAGATCTGCCGCAGATATTTCCTGGGATGCAAACGTGTGAATGGAGGGTAAAATGTGAAAAAGATCCATTATATGGGAGGGAAAGCAGAAGCATGAGGAGCATGTGTTTTTGTAGACCTGAACCTGATTTCTACTAAAGACTAGAGGAAGTTTTAGAGGAAGTAGCTGATTCAGGTTTCCTCTGAAGGATTAGTCAGCAAAAAAAGAAAAAATAAACTGGTCATGTACAGAATGTAAAATCTGTTTTAAAGAAAAGAAAGAGCAAAATGTCCTTACCTTCCAAAAACAGGTTTGTGTGCATTAAAATCTACCAGCGAGTTTCTTCTTCATGCTTGTACGTCTTTATCACACCAAACTATGTGAAGAATGTGACGGCAAATACAGCAGATGTGACTCAGGTCTTGTTTGCTCGGCTGTGTTTTTGTAGCTCAAAACCTGCAGCACTTTGTAACAAGAGGCACAGTTTTTTTGCAGAAACGAAAAGTTCTCAGCACGGTTTTTAGGGCTGATTACATGGGATTTTAAATTTTTCTCAGCAAACGCATACTTACAAAAATATGATATTTCTGTTCCCAGAGATATTTTTCTGCTTGGATTTTGTTGAGAAATGCAGGGTGATGCCATGTCATAGTTGTAGCATTTTACTCGTGTTGCATTTTGGAAGATTAGAATGACAGTGTCAGAAATAAAAAAATTGTTCTTTTGTGTTTTTGTAGAGTTGTTTCACAAGTGGTTCTTTTTGACATGAATCAGCTCCATGGCTTTAATGTTATTCGGTCTTGCAAGAGCATTAACTCTGCAAATATTATTCCTAGTTTTAAAGGAATGTTCTATTGTAGCAGCTGGTTTGTGATTTTACACAGGTACGTGTACAGAGAACAGCGATTATTCTGTAATGTATCCCAAAATACTCACCTGTAATTTATACTCAATACCCAGTTTTGTCATACTATGTGCATATGCACTATTTCTGACTGTGATTATATCATTCAGAGAATAAATAAATATTTTTATCTATTGAAAGTGATCTTGAGCTTTCACTTCAAGCAAAACTCATATAAAAGGACCTTCATCAGCTGATAATCAGCTGTGTAAAACCACTTTTTACTTTCTTTTTGTGAATATAAACGTAAGTGTCATTATCAGAAGGCCAAAAATGTTAAGACTGGATTTAGACTAAATTACCAAATTGGGGCATTGATCAAATTAAAGCTTTATGATTATAATGAAATATGTTAGTCTGCATTCAGGAACAAAATCCTAATTTATCAAAAAGAGGATTATATTAATTATTCAGAGGCTTGTCTAGAAAATTTTAGTTGGGGTGGCCAGCCTTTTTGCAGGGGGGAGGGGCATACCCCTGGAATTATTTTGGCTACATGCTCAAAAGAGTGTATATTTAAAGCTGTTTTTTTTTTAGCTTAGAAATAGTTGGTAAATGCATCTTGTATTGCAGGTCATGATTATGTTTGGTGGGTTTTTAATGTTGCAGACAGCAGCTACCGTCAGGTGGGAGGATCAGGGATCAGTCAGACTGATAGCCTTCTGAATGGCAGATAACTTCTCTCTGGGCTGCAGCTACAAAAAAATCCATTGTCACAAAATCTTTGTCACAATGAAAGTTTAAAATAGTTTTGGATTTGGTACAAAAATGAGTTAAGAGACAAATGTGGAATGATCTTAGTTGTTATAAGTTGATTCTTACCACCATCTTCTAATTGCTTCAGCATTGCAAGGAAGAAGCAGAAGAAGAAGAAGAAGAAGAAGAAGAAGAAGAAGAAGAAGAAAAGATCTTTTTATAGCGTCTTTCAAGATGAAAATCACGAGGCGCTTCACAAAAACAAAAAATGTAAAATATAAAAAAAGAATTTAGAAGTGATTAAAATAGATATTTTAAATGAGCAAAATAGACAATTGTGATTAAAAATGTCAAGAAAGGGAGAGAGTGAATAGGAAAGAGGGAAATCAGTGGATCCTGAGGACAGTGGAATGGGTAGAAAGAGCAGAACAAGGAGAGGGTGATGAAGGTCACACCAAAACCAGCTTGAAAAGGTGAGTTTTCACTGAGTCCACTGATCTCAGGCTCAGGGGGAGAGAGTTCCAGAGTCTGGGGGCCACAGCAGCAAATGATCTGTCACCTTTGGTCTTTAGCCTGGTACGCTGAACAACCAGTAGGCTTTGATCACTGGACCTCAGGGACCTGCTGGGGGTGTAGGGACTAAGAAGATCACCAATGTAAGATGGTGCTTGTCCATGTAAGGCCCTATAGACCAGAACCAGGATCTTGAAAAGACCCCTGAAGGTGACTGGCAGCCAGTGAAGCTGGAGGAGAAGCAGGGTGATGTGAGTGTACTTTGATGATTTGGTCAGAAGCCGAGCACAGGCATTCTGAACCACCTGTAGACGGTTCAGGGAGGTTCTGCTCAGACACGTGAAAAGAGAGTTACAGTAGTCTAAGCGTGAGGAGATGAAGGTGTGGATAACTGTCTCAAGTTCAGAGCGAGACAGAATGGGACTCAACTTAGCAATGTTCCTGAGATGGAAGAAGGAAGAGTGAACAAGAAAACAAGAAAAGAAAGTATCAAACAACTGATTTTTTAACTGGACATAAACCATCTCAGGCTCAAAATAAGTTTTGATAAAAGGACGAACAACGAAGTCCTTCAGGGGTACTTCTGAGTTAAAAAATGCTCATGAAATATGTATGTGGAGTAACCAGGTAGGTGGGTTTTAACTGTTGCAAATTTGCAATGCCTGCCTCCAGAGGCTTAATCTGTAAAGGAAAAAGAAAAAACTACATCTGTAGTTTTTGTAATGAAATTTTACTTTAATCTGGTGCAAGAAGACAATTGTTTTGTAAAACATTCAAGTAAAGTTGTTAGTTTATGCCAATATTGTAAAAATAAATAAATGTGCACTCCCCAAAAGCAATTTCAGTAAATAAAACAAGCTTTGTAGTTGTTTGTGTATGTGTGTGTGTGTGTGTGTGTGTGTGTGTGTGTGTGTGTGTGTGTGTGTGTGTGTGTGTGTGTGTGTGTGTGTGTGTGTGTGTGTGTGTGTGTGTGTGTGTGTGTGTGTGTGTGTGTGTGTGTGTGTGTGTAATGAAATCAAAACTCAAAACCCCAATATTTTAGCTGGGGTTGACCTTGGTTTGATTCAATTCCTCTCAAGCTCGCTAAAAGGATGAGATTTCAAAGAAAATTGTCTCCTGCGTCTTGGTGCTGGGTGCAGTGTGTCTTTAACACCGCTGGGTGGCAGCACCGAGTCACCAGCTCGTCTCCACCCTCAACAAATACTCAGAGAGGAAGAAGACATCATCAACAAGATATGTAAAACTTTACCTGAGCTGTCATTTGGATTGTTCTTTCCAGGAAGAAGGATGAAATTAACTCCAGGGAGGCACAAATTATGTATATTTTTGTTCACGATACTCTTATCAGAAGGATATTTTCGATGGGTAAGTCTAAAGCGCGTGACTTATGACTCAGCTCTGGCTACAGTTGCTTTTGTGATGTGTTTATTTTAGGCGGTTAGCGAAACTAGGTTTAGCTCTGTTAAGCAGTGCAGCTCCGCTGTTTTAATAGATTTAGGCTCTGCCTTATCAAGTAATTAGCTTAACGCTTGTCTAACCATAAAGCTAGCATCAATGCTAATAAATCAAGACGTTTCAAAGACTGGTCGCACTGTTTTACGTTGAATTTTCAAAGCTCGCTGCTTGGTGTAGAAACTGGTCATTCGTACGATAATCATGTTAAAAGCTCGAATCAATTCGGATTTAATCAGTTCTATGTCAGGTTTCGACTTTACCACACCTCCGCTAACTGACCACACCGAAACTGTAATACCAAACAAGTTTACCTGCAGGCTTTGGACCGATTCAGATAAATTCTGATTGTTTTGGAAAATTCAAACTTTGCTACACAGATTGATGCCATGGTCCACAAGATTTGATTTTCACGGGTTATAATGTTTACAAATAAACATTGCAAACAATATTTTCACATATTTTTTAGTTTTCGATTAAAAAAAAAGCAAATTGCCTCAAACGTCATGTCATTTTATTTCTGGGGAAATAAAATAACATTTTATTTTCTGTTAATTTTTTTTTTATTTACAAAGTGTATAATTATTCAGTAACTTGTAATAAACATCTAAAGTATTGCCCTGCTAGCCAAACGCTAAGATGTACTTAATGTTTATACAGTAGTATAAATATAATGTTTTCAGACACATCAAAAATATTAAATTGTGACTGATTATTCAATCTGATTGCATAGTCTTGAATTAATTACATCTGTTATTAACTAACTTTTCTGACATTTAGATCATATTCAGGAGGTGGATTCAATTCTTACTATTATTGTAGTAATCATTATAATGAAAGACAAAAAGCACAATATTCTCAAAGAAATATTCCATTACCAATTTTTGCACATTTTTAATAACATAAAAAGGCTTTAGCAAGCAATAAACTATTTTATGTATGTGTTAATTTAATCAGGCATTTTTTAAATAGTGCTCACTTGTCCTCAGCAGCCTCTGTGCCCTCTTTTCTCTCTCGATTGCTCTTTTCATGATGCAATTAGGCCAGTCTTCTCCAATTGACAGACCAGCTTTGAAACTCTGCTAAAATATCTGAAATTTGATTAGTCAGTGCAGTATTGGTGTCTCATTGGGTAAAAAAGAGCAGGAATGTACGGATCAGTACAGATATTGATTATATGGAGATTGTAGTGAGTCCGCAGAAAGTTGTTAGCGAACCTTTTTCTTGTATTTGGTCCCTAATGGAATTTCTGTTCAAGGGGCACTGCAGTGATCTGTTTGTCAAACTAAATAAACACGTTCCGGTTAGCTGGACAGATAAATGTCGTGTACCGCTTTGGAGAACTTTGTTTGCAGAAACTTCAGCTTGTAAATCTGTGCATGACCCGAGCCCCACAAAGCACAAATAGGGTAAAGTGTGACACTGGCTCTTTGCATTAAACACTTTGTGGAGTAAGTGAATTAACTTCCCTAAGTTTCTGTTGCAACAAAAAAAAAAAAAAAAAAAACGTGAGAGCTCTGATGCTGAGTAGACAGTAAAAATAAATAAATAAATAAAGTTTAAAAAATTCAATTCTTTGTTGGTTTACAGCAACCATAATTTACATTTCAGATCATTTAGCTGTTTTTCTGACTAGATAAATGGACAGCTTTTCGAGTTTTAACCTTAAAGTTTTTGTTGAAAAGACATTTTTGCAGAAGTGAAATGATCATTTGTAGACCCCGCAGCTCCTGGGGTGTTAGAAATACAGGAAGTGAAGTGCCAGATGTTTCATTTGTCAGGAACTTCTAGTAATTTTAATGCGTCAAAAATGTTAAGTCAAATCAACAAAATGGAAACGCATGCCTCATTTTTGCCCTTAAAGGAACATGAGATGAATCAACTTGTTGATGGGCTCATGTGGTAAAAATAAAATCTGCTTTAGAGGAGTTAAAAGCTTGTTCAGATTCACCAATCTGCAGTGGGTGACCACATGAATGTGATCTCTGAACACAGCAGCAGAAGTGATTACTTTGTTTTTCCTCTTTCACGGTCAGGTTGAGGCCCAGCACTGTGTGTGGTATGGAGAGTGTGGAGACTCAAAGATTCCTGGAAAAAAGTACAACTGTAACTACACGGGCCCCCCTCTGCCTCTAATGCCTGATAGTTATGAGCTTCTAACGGTACACACGAAACAATTTCTCCTTATTTTCCTGCTTCTTTTTGCTTCATGGAGGAAAAAAGTGACGTTCTGTGTGTGTTTGCTTGCAGGAGCTTTGTCCCGGGTTTGATTATGGGAACCGTAGTCTCTGCTGCGATGCTGCTCAGCTGCGCACACTCAAAGGAAGTCTCCAGGTGCCTCTGCAGCTTCTGTCTCGGTACGCTGCGCTGACATTTACCTATTTATGCATATGTGTATATAGGCTGGAAAAAAAGTGATGTTTTAGCATGTAAAGGACTAGTTTGCATGCCAACGCGGTTTGACTAAAAAATGTTGGCATGTTTTTATTTTTGCATCTCGTTTCACTTCGCTTTTATTATTACCTCAACGTCTTCCCTCGTTCCCTTGTTTTAAGTCTTTTCTATAGTATATCTTTCATGAAACACCAGCTTGTCTTATTCTAAAACCTAAAAAATGCATTGCTTGGATTTCTAAGCCAGTTTTTATTCCGGATCCGGCACTTTCTGTGTTCAGGTGTCCCTCCTGTTTCTTCAACCTGATGAACCTGTTCTGTGAGCTGACCTGCAGCCCCGATCAGAGTCAGTTTATGAACAGCACCAAGTTTAGTGGCCCCAATGTGGTAGAAGTTCAGTATTATGTTGGAAAAACCTTCGCTAATGGTGAGTTTGGTTCTGTTCTTACGAAATGTGCCACACCTCCACGACGCAGTCATGCTTGCATAAGAAATCGGCTGATTAAGCATTATTATTTCCCTGACTAAACATGTGGTCATCTTGTTTTTTTTATTTGTTGCTTTTGTAACTGGCAGTTGAGTATTTTAATTCTGTGATTTTTTTTCCTAGCGATGTACAACGCCTGCCAGGACGTCCAGCTACCTTCCACCAACATGAAAGCCTTATCGATACTTTGTGGCAAGGATGCAAAGGACTGCAATGCCACTAACTGGATCCAGTACATGTTCAGTGATGAAAACGGGCAGGCTCCATTTAATATTGTCCCAATATTCTCAGGTGAGTTTGTTTTCACAGCATCTTTCATTGCTGTGAAGAAATAAATGATCAAATGTTCTGCTCTAATTCCAGATGTGGAGGTGTCTGGTTACACGCCCATGAACAACAAGACGTACGCCTGCACCGAGGGCTTGGAGGACGGTTCTGGTCCCTGTTCCTGTCAGGACTGTGTCAACGCCTGTGGTCCCAAACCCGTCCCTCCTTCTCCCACTCCTCCCTGGACAGTCTTCGGTGTGGATGCCATGTACTTCATCATGTGGGCTTCCTACTCTGTCTTCTTGCTGATCTTTGTTGGAGTGGTGCTGGGAACCTGGTGTTACAGGTAATAGGGGTGTTTTTTTTTTTACCTTGTAGCACACATATTCAGAACTGAGGTCCAATAAGATTCCATACCTGACCTGTTTATTTTATTTTTATTTTTTTGCAGGAAAAGAACGATCATGTCGGAGTACGCCCCCATTTTGGACAGTAATAGTCCCCTGTCCCTCAACAGTGATGATCCTAGCCAGGGTGCAGTCATTCACGACATCTCTGTAACTTTAAATTTTTGGTTTAAATGATACAATTTCTAACTTTTCTTTATGTTTCTCTCTTCAGTACATGCCACCTGCTGTGAGACGCTGGGGGAACGCTTTGAGAATCTTCTGCGAGTGCTCTTCAGCTGCTGGGGCTCCTTCTGTGTTCGCCATCCTCTATCGGTGATCCTGGGCTGCCTGGTTCTGGTGACCGCCGCCTCCGTGGGTCTGGTCTACATGCGTATCACCACGGATCCAGTCGAGCTTTGGTCCTCCCCCTCGAGCCAGGCTCGGCAGGAGAAGGACTATTTCGATGAGCACTTCGGCCCTTTCTACAGAACCACTCAGCTCATCATAACCACTCCCATCAACAAAACATTTATATACAGTCCTTATTTTGGAGGGGCAAACGTCCCATTTAAAGCCATCCTGTTTAATGACATCCTGCACCAGGTGAGTTCAGTTTAGAAATAACATCACCAGTTTAGAATTTGCACACAGATAGTGGTTTTTATGCAGTAAATAGCAGAATCTTCTGATCTGGCCTTATTTTTGTTTTTAGCTAAATGGTGTAGTACTGAGTTATATGTGATGCGCTTTGATCAAAGAAGGTGATCCCTTCTATAGCTGGACTTCAGAGCCAATGAAACACCACAACAGAGATGGGGAATTGTGGCATCAACAAGTCATCACAGCACAGCAACTGAACCTGGATCAGTTGCTGAGCAGAACAAAAACATAGCATGGAGTTGACTTGTTGATGCCACAGGTCCCATTTCTGCACCATAACGTGACGTTATGTGTTGGTTTGAACCCAGTTTTCAATGTTTGAGCGCAAAATCCCAGCATGCACAACACAGTTAAAAGAACTGTGTCATGCTATTTTCCCACTTCAGAGCAATGATAGGCCCATATATGGTTTAAATATCACCATTGGCACTATGGAGACCTCATTTGTTCTGAAGCATGAGTTATTGTCTTGAGACATATCAACCCAGAAATAAGACTGGTGGATTCCATGAAATCCCGCCTCCACCAGTGTCAATTCCTCCTATTTCATGACTTAACTCTAGATCCTCAGCACAGCATCATGGGCTAAGAAGAAAAAAGCAGCTACACAAACACCAGCGGCAAACTAGTCATCCACTCTGTGATTGCTAGGGACACCCACCCCCACTCCCGGAGATTCTCTGTAGAAGAATCGAGTTGCCAACACACACACCACCAGAAAAGATGGATGGGATGAAATATTGTGCTTGTCCGTCCCAGAGGCTCGCCATCCAAACTTTATAACTATTCAGCTAGCGGTTAGCATTTTGGTTGAACTCACCACTTTGGCCTATCCATAGAGTGGTTTTCACATCAGAATGGCGCCGGGCGGTTTGAAGAAGTAAGCTGTCAAAAAAACTCACTCTGGTACTAGTGGTGGTTTAACTAGCAGTCCATGAAATCACGGTCACTTTCTGGCCTGTTTTTTACGAGCTGAAAATAAAATCCAACCATTTCTGCAGATTAAACTCTTTAGGTTGACGGAACAAATCTCTACCTCTCGCAGACAAAATGTAGACATTGTTTAAAGTGCAGACTAGATAAGAAAGAAATGAGCTCTTCACTACTGCAGAAATTAAACTCTCCACTAGCTACAGAGAGACTTGGTGTTAATGTTTACAGTCCTCAGAGCCCCTCAGAGAGGAGGGTCCTGATTGGAGACTACCTGGATGGGGAGGGGCAGTGCAATGAAGACGCAAAACTTTTCCATCTAGTCGTTTGTATTAGCTTTGCAGTGCTGAAGGGAAGAAGCAGCTGAGACAGAAAAATACATGAGTGTAGCCGAAAACCACTCTGGGGATTTTATTTCATGAGGAAATCACAATAAAACGTGGTCAGTAGCTCCAAAAAGTGGCTTTTGCAGCATGATATCATCCCTTTAAAGTTTTGAAATGAAACAAAGTCACTGAAAGTGTGGTTTAAAGTCTTTATTTCTGCTCCCACCAGGTGCTGGATCTGCAGCTTGCTATCGAAGGCCTTGTAGCCACAGATAAAGGGCAGAACGTGACTCTGCAGGACATCTGCCTGGCTCCCCTCGCTCCCGACAACAACAACTGCACCATCTTAAGCATCCTCAACTATTTCCAGAACAGCCACTCTGTGCTGGATCACTCCGTAGGAGATGAATTTTATGTTTATGCTGACTACCACAGCCATTTCCTCTACTGTGTCAGGTGATTCTTTTCTTCTTCTGAAAAGACAACACTTATTGCATTTTTTATTTTAGTCACATTTGCTTGCAGAAATCTGTTTTAGAGATCACAAGTCTAGAGGAAACTCACTCCTAAAATAATTCACTCAGAGTTGCTCCTTAGCCATCATGCGACAGCTTGGTTGTTTCTTTCATTAACTGTAGACATATAGGTCATATTTTCATTTTCCTGTTATGTTTTATCTCTTTTTTATCTGTCTGCAGCGCACCAGCCTCTCTGAATGACACCACCCTCCTCCATGATCCCTGTTTAGGAACCTTTGGAGGTCCCGTCTTCCCCTGGTTGGCCCTCGGTGGTTATGATGGTACATTTTAGTTATTCTTTTCTTTTTTTTATTATTTTTTTAGGCAGGTTTTTGCACTTTCTCCATGTTTTAGTTTAAATTGCATTGATTGATGCACTCATTTTCATCAGATGGGGGGGGGGGGGGGGTGATTTTATTTCTCATAACCTTTAGAGTAAAACTTGAACATAAACAATTTAACCAGGAGCTGATTAGAAATAGAAGCTGAGACATCTTTAAAACATGCTCGACACAATCTGTTAGAGGTGGAAGGAGGCATCAACTGAGGATAGTTGAGATAAAGTGTGTGGTGTTGCTCAACAGGAGCAGCAATGTGTTTAAAAAATCTGTTTCCTGGGAATGATTCTGACTTTTAATTTATAAAGGTTTTAGCATTTTAATAGAGAAAAAAGTTTTTATTCAACTTACAGCAGCTGCACAGCTATTAAAAGTCTCCATTTATGTCTATTGCTTCAAGGAACCTGCTGTTCTTCACAGTCCCTTGTTTTTTTTTTTAAAAGAAAAATTACCTTGTAAGGGTTGATTTCTGACTTAAATTTAGGGATTCTTTTAACCCTCCCACTGTCCCTAACGGGTGTGACCCCGCGAGGAAGGTTGACCATTAGGCAGGATTGATGGTTTATCCCTTGGGTCCACGTGGCAGGGATGAGGAGTGAGCGCCACCTCACCCCAGCCACGTGGACCTCAAGGGATAAACCATCAATCCTGCCTAATGGTCAACCTTCCTCGCATGGTCACCCATAAAGACAGTGGAAGGGTTAATAGTAAGTCATTTATGAATGTAGTGAGGAAGTGTGTGTGGTATGTAATTGTAGAGTGTTTCTGCTCTCCTCATGACATTGCATCTCCCTCCAAAAAGCCTCGTCTGCTCTGATTGGTCAGCTCCCGCTGGTCTGATCATCAAACACCGCCTCCACATTTCAGAAGTTGTTTCATTGGGTGTGCAGTTGCTGCTGGGTGTAGCATGAGCTCTCAGCGATGTGAAACCTCTTGCAGGAAATGACGTTGACTCACATTTTGAAACCACCAAACTTTTATTGTTCTGCATACCTGAAGTTTTTTCTCAACATGCCTATTAAGTTGTTCAGAATTTAGTTTAAATAAAAGCTAAACCACGCCCAATTTTTTCTTGAAATTCCTCAATAGGTTAATTGTGTATTTTTTCCCATTTTTAAAAAAATGCTTTGCTTTCTCATCTTATTTAAAGTGATCGCTTCATGCATTTGTTGCAGACACGAACTATAACAACGCCACTGCCCTGGTCATCACCTTTCCGCTCAAAAACTACCTGAACGATTCCGACAAACTGGACAAAGTTCTTGCTTGGGAAAAAGAGTACGCCAACGATCACAATCGCACTCCGTCATCAGGAGTTATTTCTTCTCTTTAACTGTTTCATCTTCATTCCAGATTCATCAGCTTCATGAAGAACTACTCCAATCCCAACCTGACCATATCCTTCAATACGGAGCGGAGCATCGAAGATGAGATCAACCGAGAGAGCAACAGTGACATCAGCACGATTGTGGTCAGCTATGTCATCATGTTCATCTACATCTCCCTGTCTCTGGGTCACATCCAAAGCTTCAGCAGGCTAATGGTAGGGCATGAAACCTTGACTTAACCCCGTTAACGTTTCAAAGCGTGTGTCTCATCACAAATGCCTGAAATAGTCTTATTTCCTGTCCATGTCTGAGATTGTTTCATGTGACGACATAAACCATCTAACTCATGCATAGAGGAAGCAGATTGGTATAAATTTGAGTCCTCCTGTGTTTTTGTTTACACAGGTGGACTCTAAGATTTCTCTGGGGATAGCAGGCATCTTCATAGTGCTGGCCTCGGTGTCCTCATCGCTGGGAATCTTTAGCTACGCCGGGATCCCCCTAACGCTCATCGTGATCGAGGTCATTCCCTTCCTCGTGCTGGCTGTTGGAGTCGACAACATCTTTATTATAGTTCAGATGTACCAGGTAAACACTTTGACTCTGGATCAGAGTAGACAACAGATCTACAAATAATTATAATGTTCCTGTGGTTTCATTCAAAGAGGTCCTTCACTGAGAAACCATTTTTACCTATTATTTTTGAAAATGATCATTCTGAGTTTAGCATGCAGGCTGACGTGAAAATAGTCTTCTACGCCTCCTGCATTAGCTTCTGATAGAAAATAGACGGTGAAATTCTAGGATTAGAAATGCCTGACAGATCTACGTCACACTGTCACTGAACATTCATGGACTCTCCCATCTTGACTCATGATGGGGAATGCTGTTGTTGGTTTAGCTTCCAGGAAACGGCAGAACGTCTCGGCCAGTAGAAGCTAACTGTTAGCATTAGCGACTCTACAGCATGACGGAACTCCTCCAGGCTTGTGTTACTTGTGGAGATAAAACGTCAACACTGAGTCAGTGGTAGAGTTCAGTTGCTGTTATCCAATCAGAGGTGAGATGGCCAAATGTCAGGAAATAAAACTCTAAATCATTTTGTCTGAAGCGACTTTGCCCTCCAGCTGACTTCCTTAACCAGGTGCATCTGAGCTCCCCCCATCCCAAACGAGTCAACCTCTGATTGGTGCAGGCTGCTGGGCTGATTACTGAAAGAGCTGAACTCCCTCAACTTTTCTCCCATTTAAAAAAAAAACAAAATCAGCTGTTTGGAAATTGTTTGAAGACAGATAGTCACGGTTTAGCTAACAGATTAGACAATGCTCATAGGACTCCCCGTCAATGGAAGCGCCACCCTTCACTCATTTAAAGATAACGCTATCTTGAAATGAACATTTGCTACAAGAGTTAGCGTGCCCTTCGTTTAGAAAATTATCTGCTCAATTACAAATCATCTTGTGCTCTTGTTGGAGATTGTCAGGCTCCCAAAATACAAAACACGATGAACAGAGCAGCTTTACTCTACAGCCTTAAACAGACCTGTTTTAAATATACTGTGAAATAATTGGGCTGCTTAAGCAAATAAACTCTCTGGCATGTGTGTTAGTGTGTGGTTGTTTCTCCCAAAAATGGAATTTGATTTAAATACATTTTCGTTTTGTTTACGTTTCTAAACAGAGGGATGAACGGTTGCCACATGAAGAACTCCACCAACAGATCGGTCGGATTCTCGGGGACATCGCTCCGAGCATTCTTCTCTCCTCGTTCTCTGAGACGCTGGTCTTCTTTCTGGGTAAATCCCATACGTTATTCTTTATTAACCCGTCATTGTTTGCTTTTGTTGTGGCAGGTTCACTAAATATTACCTGGTTGTGTATCAGAAACGGATCCGATGGGACTGTGCGGCTCTGCAGATTTAAAAAATTCAGCTGATCTACAATAAAGCAGATTTTTTTTAAACAAAAGCAGCTCAAATTAGAAGAGTCGCTAACATGAGGGCCTGTTAATCATCAGGAGTTGTTGTTAAAGCACACAGCTTGAACCTTTGATAACAATAATATTCAGGTAAGTGAGTCCATTTAAACAAAGAGAAGAAAATACAAGTGGTGAAATTTTTTCAGTATCATTGGTCATTTCTGATGTTTTCCTCTTTAAATAAACTCACACGCAGGTTGGATCACTTCCTCTTCCCTGTCACAGCAGGTGTGCACTGATATAATTAAAAACATGCTGTTTATAACAACACGTTGCAGAGCAATCAGCAGCAGAATGTTGTGCATTCATGCAACAGTCAGAATTTTGGTTTAAAGCTTTATTTATAATTATTTACAGGGAGAATTCACACATCTGGCAGATGAACGACCTGCTGTTTTCTGCTGAGCCAGAAGCTGATGTACTTCTTTATTTTTATCTTCCAGGTGCCTTGTCCAACATGCCTGCAGTGAGGACATTCTCCCTGTTTGCTGGCTTGGCCGTTTTTATTGATTTCCTGTTGCAGATCAGCTGCTTTGTCAGTTTGCTCGGCATGGATGCCAAAAGACAGGAGGTGAGATGGAGGCAGGGACACTCAGTGGGATTATTCAGCATAAGATCGAACTGTTATCACCTCTTAATAACTTTGTGTTAATTTAGGAGTATAAATAACATGCACTACACAAGAAAAAAATCTTTTCCCTATCAAATAATTTCTACAATAAGAACAGGCAACAATATCTATTTAAAATATTCTCAGACGGTCAGCTCTGATGACATCCACAGGCAGTCGTGGTGATGATTATAAACTTCCAACACCTTGTCACCCCTGCTGCTCCGTATTACGATGCTCTGCTGCAGTCCTCCTCATCAAGGTGACACCAAACACTGTTTTTTCCACATCTGAACTCAACACAATAATCCTGCTCTGCTGTATCTTCACCTGGGGCCTGATTATAAAGCTTGCTTATGAACAAAATGGGGTCTGAAAACTGCGTGATTTTCCATGCAAACTTTCTGTTCTTTGAAAAAAAAACTTGATGGAAAGATGTGCTTAACTTTAAGCAAACTTTTGACCCGGCAGGAGCACATTTGGGAGATAGTGAGATGGTAAAATGTTTTTTTTTTTCACCCCTTCTTTCCACTTCCAAGTTAAAGTTGGAATATGGAATATTTTGATAAAATGCTATATTTAAAAAAATACCACGACGTGGCATTTAGAGGTGTGTAGAATGTCCAGTTTCTGCTTTAAAAGGTATATTTAAAAAAATAATAATAAAAATGTTATTTTGAGGGGCACAACACTAGGTTTATGCTTACATCTACCAGTCAACAGGGGGCAGCGTTGCAGTAAAAAGTTGGCTTGGCAAGGCAGGCTGGGACTGTGTATAATGGCGGGCCAAACAGCTGATTCTGAGCCCAGAAGATGTTCTAACGGTAAATAGTGTTACAAAGTTAACATATTAGTAGAAATAAGTCTTTACCCTGTACGATTCATCACTGGACATGGTCCTGGCTGGTCACGTGTCAGCAGTGAACCAATACCCTAACAGCTGGTAAATGTGTTCTGTTGTTGCACTACTACCTCCTAACACTAGATGTCGCTATAGTGTCCATGCTCCATATTCAACCTTTAAAGCATCGCAAATCATACACGGAATGTACTACGCAGAAATTAGCCGCCGTTCTAGTGAATGCGTTCCTTTCCACCGACACCAAATGATGACGTTTTGGACGCGCCCCAGAAGCGAAGGGACACATCATTATGTTTCGAGTCTATTTACAAAACACGTCAAACTCCACAGTGTAGGTTACACCAGACTGGATGTCAAACACAAAAGCTGTGCAAAACATCCAGAAACTTTCAAAATAAAAGTCACATGCAGGTAAACTTACGTCATTTTCTGTTTAAACCCCCGTAGCCGATGTAAACAGAGCAGAAAATAAACCAGACCTTTTTGATGCATGCAGCTGTCTTTCTCCTTGCTTTTTATTGTGGGTGAACTTCTGAAATCACGCGTGGTGTTGCAATTCTCATGTGATTTTGTGACGCCAGCTTTGTGGAACGCTTTCGCTCTCGTTTCACATCTGAAACGCTCCCAGTTGGGAATGAGCTCATGGGTAAAACGCCTCTATTACGTTAGATGCCACCTTCACGTCCAGTGAACAGAAGTGGTCAGGCCTTTCGCACGCACACACAAAACCAAAAAGAAGACCCCCTCCATCTCTGAATTGAGAATAAAAATTATATCAGTGATTAAAATACATTACTTTCATGTGTCGTTAAATAACTTATTGGTGCATTAATTGTGTCGTACGTGACCGCACACCTGTGATTCACACTATAATTTAAAACGTCACTGTAGTGAACCGGGCAGAGGTGCAGCTGTCGGAGTTTCCATAAACAGGAGTTCTGACAACACCAGTTCGTTCCAGCAGGTATCAGCTGATATTTGTTCAATATTTCCTGCCTAGAGCCCTTTGGGCTAAATTAAATGTTTTCCTTAAATGTTCCACTTGGATCTGGAAAAGACAGTGACCCCTCCCTATGCACCATAGTGCTGCTTTTATTGATGATGTCAATGATTGTTGCCATCTTAAGCTCCATCTGACCACTTCTTTAAATATTTTTATTTATTGGCATCCGCTGATCGCTCCGTGGCTCCAAAGTTCCGCTGTAGCAGCGCGGTGTCGCTAAATCAAATCAAAGATACTTTTTTAACCCCAGAGGGAAATTAGAGGGAATAAAACACTTTTTCCATGTATAAGCGACACCCCAGACCGTGGAAATCTTTCTTGGTTGTCATGGTTGCACGTGAGCACATTTCTAAGACAGGTGTGATTTATAAAGCAGAACCACTGAGTTAGAAAAGCCACACAGCTCAAGAGAAATTTTTCATTCATGGCGTCGCCCACTGTGGCTTGTGATCGTGGAAATGAGAGCAGAGTGTGTTTGGGTTAGTAGAAGCTAACCATTAGCATTAGCAATTCCACAACATTTTGAAAGAGTTACGCATAAAAGAAAATCAAACAACTTCAACGGAAGAGCTACTTGCTTTTAGCCAATCAGAGGTGAGATGTTTGCATATTTTGAATCAAAATCCTGCCGTTTTCCATCCAAACTTACTCCAAATAACTTCTACTTCCTGAAACTGGAGCACCAAAGTCAAAACGACTCACAAAGCATTCATTCATTCATTCATTCATTCATACTTGAGCCCACATCAGGTTTGTTAATAAAAATGGGTGAATGAGAGCTTTTAACGTGGACACTAGAAACCTGCTTGGCCCTCTTGGATTTTATTCATTTATTTATTTATCTACCTGATCACAGCTGGTTGTCGTTGTAGCGTGAGGACAATGTTTATACTTGTTGAACATTGTGCGGTGGGTTGTGTTTTAAAGGAGAACCGGCTAGACGTCTGCTGGTGTGTGAAGCTGCCTGAACGTTACGAAGTCAAGACGGATGGCTTCCTCTTCCGGTTTTTCAAGAAAGTCTACGCTCCGTTCATCCTGAAGGAGTGGGTTCGACCCGTCGTCGTGAGTGAACCAGTCCTGCTTTAGCAGCCATGTGAATAAACCAAATCAGTGTTTCTGATCAGCTGACACTTTTGTCCACAGGTGGCGGTGTTTGTGGGGATGCTGTCTTTCAGCATCGCTGTGGTGAATAAAGTGGAAATTGGACTGGACCAGAAGTTATCCATGCCGGATGTGAGCTTTCTCCTACGCGTCCCTTTAAAAAAATCTGAGTTATTCCCTTTATAAGTTCATTTTAAAAACATTTTCTGTTTCTCCTCCATTTAGGACTCGTATGTTCTGGACTACTTCAATAACCTGAGCGAGTATCTCCACACCGGAGCTCCTGTGTACTTTGTAGTGGAGGACGGTCTGAACTACAGTAGCCTGGAGGGCCAGAATTCTGTTTGTGGAGGAGTGGGCTGTGACAACAACTCTTTGGTTCAGCTGGTTTATTCTGCATCACTTATCAGCAACTAGTAAGCAGTGATAAAGAATTAGACTAGTTTTAAAAAGAGACTTGATCAATGTCATCATTTTAGCGTTTTTAAGAGCCTTTTCTAATCTTTTCCCCGTTACTCCCAGCACCACTATTGCCAGCAATCCCTCTTCCTGGCTGGATGATTACTTCGACTGGGTGAAGCCTCAGTCGACCTGCTGTCGCTACTACAACACCACCGGAGCCTTCTGCAACGCCTTAGGTGATTATCCACCTTCTATCAGTGAATCAAAGCCGTCTGTCATCATTTTATGTCTAAATCACCCAACGCTAGAACACTTTGGTGTAGTTTTAAACTAAAAAGTGCAGCTTTGATGTTTGTTTATTTGTCCTATGGTGGGGTTTTTTCTCAGATACCTGTTTAATAAGCCTGTGTTTCTTGTTCTGTTTTCCAGTGGTGAACTCGTCCTGTGTGCCGTGTCGACCTCTGACTCCGAGTGGAAAACAGAGACCTGTAGGAGAGGACTTTATGCATTTTCTACCAATGTTCTTGTCAGATAATCCTAATGTCAAGTGTGGAAAAGGGTGATCAATCTTTCATTTTAATCCAAAATAATTTAATCCTCTATTTTTGTGTTTTTTGGGTTCTAATTCCTCTCTCCTCTTGTTTTTCCTCCAGCGGTCACGCAGCTTACGCCACAGCCGTCGACCTTTATCCCGACAACACGGGCGTCGGGGCCACTTACTTCATGTCATACCACTCTATCCTAAAGGACTCCCCCGACTTTATAAAGGCTTTGAAAATGGCTCGAACCCTGGCCAACAACATCAGCCAGTCTATTGATCACAAGGTTTTCGCATACAGGTCAGTTTGTTTCAGTTTCACCTTTTTAGTTTACTTATGCAACTTTGCTTCCTTTTACTGAGGTTTTCTCTGCTGTGTGATGTTTTATTTTAGATAAAAATTCCAAATTTACTTTAACTAATCTGTTAGTTTTCTAGCTGTCTCAGTCTGATACTAAAATAAGCATTAATTAAGCTTTATTATTACATAAATTAGACCAAAATACTTCAGAACCGTTTTAGATTTGTTGGAATGCACATTTTAGTTTTTTTTTTCCTTCAACTGAAGCAACAGAAAATACATTTTTACTGACAAACATTACCCCCCCTTTGCAGTGTCTTCTACGTGTTTTACGAGCAGTACCTCACCATCGCCCACGACACGGCTCTGAACCTAGGCGTGTCACTGTTGGACATCTTTGTGGTGACCACAGTGTTGCTGGGCTTCGAGTTGTGGTCAGCTGTGATCGTCACCATCACGATCGCCATGATCCTGGTCAACATGTTCGGCGTCATGTGGCTTTGGGGCATCAGCCTCAACGCAGTGTCTCTTGTGAACCTGGTCATGGTAAGAGTTTCTTAAAATCATGCAGCGCCTCAGGGAATCTGGTTCAGCGCCATTACTTTAACTCAGTCGTCACTTTAATAAACTACCCTCTCGAGTCATTAGAGGACAAAAACGTTGTAAAAGTGGCTGTAAAAAATCTGTATTTTATTTATTTGTTCATGTTGGCCTTCTGAGTTCAAAACAAACAGCAGAAGATCTATTCCGCTTTTCCCGGGATCCACCAATTTCCATCTTTCTTATTCGTTTTCTCTCTCCCTTTCTTTACTTTTTTTTTTTACTTTTTTAAATTTTTTGCCTTTTTAAAGATGTTTTTTAAACTTTCTTTTTTTATTATTCTTTTTACATTTTAAATGTTTTGTTTTTGTGAAGCATCTCGTGATTTTTATCTTGAGAGACGCTAAATAAAATAGTTTTCTTTCTTTCTAAAGAAATGTCGAGTTTCCTGCCAGGGCCAATAATGGAGAAGTGACTGATTTTCTTGGTGAACAGTAAAAATCACAAATTTTACTACTTTTTTTCTGAAATGGAACCCTAACATCATAGAATATGAGTATTTTTGGATATTTTTTCTCTAGACTGGCTCTCTTCCTATCTCACTAACAGAACATTCACAGTGAAGTCAGAAACGTTCTCCTCAGACACTGCCTCTCTAACATGCGGGGTCCCACAAGGTTCAGTTCTAGGGCCTCTACTATTTGCATTCTATATTCTTCCCCTAGCTGGCATCATTCAGTCTTTCCCAGACATCTCCTACCACATCTACGCTGATGATATTCAGCTCTATATGTCCTTTATGCCACACCAGTTGGACAGGCTGGCCACACTTGTACTCTGCCTGACCCAGATCAGTAACTGGCTGTCCAGCAACTTTCTTGTCCTCAATGCTAACAAGACAGAGACCCTGATCGCTGCACCCCTGGAACTTCAGCCAAAAATCGAGCAAGAAATTGCCTCTTTTTGCCCATCAGCCAAGGCCAACATTAGAAACCTGGGAGTTATTTTTGATCCAGCTTTAAGTTTAGACTCACACGTCAAAACCATCTCCCGCTCTTGTTTCTTTCAACTGAGAAACATTTCAAAAGTCCGTAAACTGGTTTCTACTGCTGATCTGGAAAAAATAATCCATGCCTTTGTGTCATCACGCTTAGACTACTGTAACGCTCTTTTTACTGGTCTCAGCAAAACCTCCCTCTCACGCCTTCAAGCCATCCAAAATGCAGCAGCCAGACTCCTAACCAAATCCAGCAGACGAGCTGACATCACTCCAGTTCTACAGTCCCTCCACTGGCTCCCGGTAGAATATAGAATACAGTTTAAAGTTTTAGTCCTGACCTATAGAGCTCTTAACAACCAGGCTCCAAGCTATTTATCTGAGCTTTTATCCCCACACATCACCTCTCGGAACCTTAGATCCACATCTGAAAACCTCCTGGCTGTTCCTCGAACCAGACTGAAAACCAAAGGGGACAGGGCCTTTCAGACTATTGCACCCAGACTTTGGAACAGTCTACCTTCAAATCTCCGTCTCTCTAACACTGTAGAGGTCTTTAAAAATCATCTAAAAACTCACCTTTTCATCCAGGCGTTCCCTCCCTAAATGTTTCAAAAAGATGGCTGTGTTCAGGTTCACACCTTCACTTTGTTTATACTCATGATTTTATTTTCTACGTTTATCACTGCTATTGTTTTTCTGATGTTTTTATTGGTTAGAGGTATTTGCCCTGATCTTTATCATGTTGTACAGCGCTTTGTGATTTATATCTGTGAAAGGCGCTATATAAATAAACTTTTACTTACTTACTTACTTACTATTTTTGGATATACAGGATCAAAAACTGGTTTGAATAAAAGTCACTGGAACGTTTTTGTCCTCAAGTGACTATTAATTTTAAATCTGTTAATATGCAAAAACTAAAAATGCAGAAAACTCAATAAAAGGCACAATTTATTAATTTATTTATTTATTTATTTTTGTGGAAAATAACCTTTTCATAAATTACAGCAACACTGTAAACAAAACTAGTATTTCAAGGGTTAAAATCCTCAAAATGATTGAATTTTGTGTAGGTTTGAGCAGGGCTGAAGTTGTTTTTCCCAAAAAAAAAAAAAAAGCTAAAGAAAACATTAATTTACACATTTTTAACTCATTCACTGCCAGCCGTCCTGATCACTGACGGCCTTTGCTGCCAGCGTTTCTCACTGTTTCTACTGTTTTTTTGAGAGTCACAGAACGTTGCGCGCTAGGATGATGTCATTGCCAAAACAACCAAAACAAAGAGGAGACTCACCTCTTACATCAGGAAGAATCCACGTGTTTAGAGCGTTATCCATTCTTTCATAATCCGTTGTCGAATTGTGATCGGCAGACGCTTTTCCGATTCGCGCTTCACTTTTTTTTACAGGAACGGCCCAAAACGATCTCCAAACACATGGATCTGTTGCTTCCTGATCATGTAATTTGTGAAGTATTTGGATGAAGATCGGCTTCAGGGCTGAGATGTTTGTTCTCTCAGAGCGTGGGGCTTGTTCCGATGCTCAAAAAAGTAAAAAAAAAAAAATGCAAATGACGACTTTAGTCGTCAATGGCAGTGAATGAGTTAACAGCCACATTTATGATTTAGTCCTCTGACTCACGAGTATGGGTTTTTTCCCCTTACTGTTCCATTGGTTTATTTTCAAAATTCCAATTTTAATTTAGAAACTTGTCTGAGAGGTTTTATTATTAAAATCTAACAGAAACACTGTTAAAATGGAGTCTACCCAAATGGACAAAAACATCCCATGATGGTTGGTAATATAAGAGTGTCTCAAAAATAGAAAAAACTAGACAAGGTTAATATTTTCTTTAGGTAAAAACAAAACAAACACTGTTTTATTTACTGGTGACGATGGCAGCAGCTCGATATTGTGAGTCAGCTCATATTTACTCTTGTCGGTGTTGTGTGAAGATTTGTGCCAACTGGTGAAACACAAAGAAGACACTGTTGTTTTCCATTTATTGGAAATAAATCTCATTCTTAATTTTAGTATTAATTCACTAGCTTTTAAAAATTCAATTATTTCTTAGATTTTCTGTCTTGTGCTGCTGTTCATGATCTTGTGACTTCTTTTGTTTTTAGGTCACATTCATCTTGTTTTTCCTTTTTTATGGGAGAACTTAGGTCTGACAACATCCCATCGTCAGCAGTTCTCATGCACTTTGTTTTAATGGCCAGAAATAAACTAGAACTGTATACAGCTGTTCCTTAACTTTAGCCTAGATTTTAAAAAGAAAGAAAAAGAGAAACGGATGTCAGCTCTTTGGCTTCCTGTTCATTATTTCCCTGTTTTTGGTTCTGACCCGTTTGCTGCGGTTTGATTTCAGAGCTGCGGGATCTCGGTGGAGTTCTGCAGCCACATTGTACGAGCGTTTTCCATCAGTGTGAAGAAAAACAGAGTGGAGCGAGCTGAGGAGGCGCTGGCTCACATGGGCAGCTCTGTAAGTTATATTTTGCACCTGATTAAATTTACTGCAGGAAATGAATGAGAACAACTCCTGGATGGTACTAATTAATTTGGCATCAGTGTCATTGCAAACAAAATCTGATCAATCTATAAAACTAACTTGTTTTCTTGGCTGCTCCTGAAATAAAATCCAATTTTAGATAATTATTTTTTTTTTAATAAAAATGCTTTAATGAAAATATTTTAACTAATTTTTTTTCCACAGGTGTTCAGTGGAATCACGTTAACTAAGTTTGGAGGGATATTAATCCTGGCTCTTTCCAAGTCGCAGATCTTCCAGGTCTTTTACTTCCGGATGTATCTGGCCATCGTGCTCCTCGGAGCGACGCACGGCCTCATTTTCCTCCCAGTCCTACTAAGCTATTTAGGTTGGTATTGCTAAGCGAACTAGAGCTGAATGATTTTAGAAAACTACCTGATTGCATTTTTTTCTGGCAGAAATTGCGATTTTCACAATTTTCTTCAAACCAGCTTCAAACACAATATTCACAAAGTATTGTTTACCAACATAACAGGAAATTACATCATACAATCAAATGTAAAGCTATTACTTTAATAATGCAAGGGTGAAAACTAATGGGCTTTCAAATGTATCCGCTGTGTATGCTATCAAAGGATTTGTCATGCTATTCCTAGCTTTGTTTTACAGAGCCATGCCACCTTAATGTTTATTTTTTTTCCCCCCATAAAGCACACCTCAGATACCAAACACCGACACATTCGTACTTACCATTACCAACCGTTTGAGCCATTAAGAAATATTTTTTTTGAAAGAAGAGAAATGGCACTTTCAGCTCAGTTTAGTGTTATTACGGTAATCCTTCTGCAGTTTCAGTAAGCTGGTGAATCAGCTGCTCTGTCCCTTCCACACTCACTCACTCACTCACTGCAGATTGAGGGACAGAAAAAGTGCAACAAGGACGGGTAACAAGTGCAGCTAAATAATTTTGCTTCGGCAACTGACGCTTTAGATTTCTAGGCTAAAAAAACACAGCTGTGCTGATCACATGATCACGTTGTCTGAAATTGCAATATCAATCAGAAAAAAATGGATCTTTCAGCTTCAATGCAATTTAGAAAAAAATTCCACACATCTCATCTGTTTGCTACAATGTGTTTACTTTTATCTCTAAAGGTCCATCGATGAACAAAGCCAAGGTGTTTGCTGCCAACCAGCGTAACATCGGTACAGAAAAAGAGCGCCTCCTCGGCTACAGGGCCAACTCTATGGGTACCAACTAACTGTCCACGAGGGGCCGTGTGTGTGTGTGTGTGCGCGCGCGTGCGTCAGCCACATGTGGAATCAGTAACACACTCTTCATCATTGTCACTACTGTGCATGGATCTAACTCAGGAATATACGCGGAAACAAGAGTGCCAGCAGCTTTTGATTTGTCCACTAAAGACTCAGACCAGCCCTCCTCATCCTCTTCCTCATACTACAGGGCAAGCAAGACTTTAGCATCTGAACAGACACTCGGACAAGGGTCCTGGGACAAGAGAAACGATGGCAGAGTGGTTGTTTTGAGAAAGTATTAAAAGGGTAAAACTGGTCAGCTTTAACATAAAAGTGAAGACCAGAAAAAAAGTTCGATATTAAGAGTGAAACAAATGGAACCTGACGGACCTGAAAATCTCACAACCGTCCTCATTAAATCATAACTAAGTACAGTTCTCCATCAGGATGTTTTGACTGTTAAACAAGAAAAAAGAAATCAAACGAGTGTCTTTTAGTGGAGACCAAATTTTTCAGCAAAACAAGATGATTTATATAAATGTTCTTTTTAAAGTTACTTTACATCACCATCAAATGCTGCTTCTTGCATCAGTTCCCAAGTATTCTGATTTTATTTTAGTTCCATGTTGAAGGCTGATCCAGAATTTTCAAGTGTCCTTCCTGAAGCGTTCGGCCACTTTTAACCGTCGAGATGCATCTTGGTGTTTGATCTAAACGGTTTCTGGTGCTTAAAACGGTTTTGTATTGATCTGAGACATTTTATAGTTACTGAACAAGGGATTTGTAGCATCAGCAGGTGGAACAAAGAAGCTGACATAGGACTAATTATTTCATTCCACAGTTTAAAAAAAGTGTAATTTATTATATAATGTCAGAGTTCTGAGATTTTCATTCTTTTTTTTTTCTTTGAGCATTTTAGCTGTTTAAACTTGTGTGTGTTGTCTTTAAACTGCCTCAGAAGTCCCTTTAAAGAATCGTGCAGTTAGCTATTTTACCCTTTTATTCTACCTACTTGTTACTTTTATGTCTGAGATTTCCCCCCTTGTGTGTCCTGCATTAACCATGAACCATTCCTTTTTGGTTTTTAGATAAATTCATTATTTCATGAATGTATAAAAATTGTTGTGAAATAAGGATTAAACATGAACTTTCAAAGAAAAGCTAACGTTACATTACCCTGGTTGTGGATTGTAGTGAAAAACACATTTTGTAAGATTTGGAGAGCTTTAGTTTTTACTGATTTGAACAAATATTAAAAGTACTCACAAAGTGACACAGGTTGTATTTTCTTTGTTTCCATCCATAAAGAACATACAACATACATGACTAACGTGTAATATCTGATTTAGCTTGGACATCCTAAGATTTACCACAGGGTGGCGCCTGGATCCATACATCCGCTATTCCAGGGCTATTCAATTCTGGGCATTGAGGACTGGTATCCAGCATGTTTTAGTTTTAACTCTGCTTCAACACACCTGATTTCAGTCAGCAGGGGCCTCATTTATCAAGCTTGCTTACGCACAAAACGGGGTCGGAAAACTGCGTAAGCAACTTTCCACGCAAACTTTGGGATGTATGAAAGAAAACTTAGCAGAAAAAATGTGCGCAACATTAAGTTGACTAAGGACCTTGCTTACGCACATTTTGGGCATGGAGAGCACCTGCAGTGCTGCTGCTAAGAAGGATTATTATTACAATTATGAAATCCTGCAGCATTAACACTTGTACCGCTTTGTTTTCACACAGAACAAGACCCCCCACATGCAGACACGCGCGCGCACATACGCACTCACACACAGCCTGAAGCGCAGAATATGGAATGCAGAATATCAGCAGGGGGACAGATTGAGACAGGATGTCATGCGTCTGTGACAGTGTGTGTGTCCTGTCACTGTGACCCGATTGATCATACGCCCTGGCTACTTGTACAAGGGAGATCTCCGTTTGGGTGACTGGTTAGTGCGTGTGACTTTCACCCGGGAGTCTGGGGATTGATTCCCATTTGGACCTTTTTTTTTTAATCCGCCACAGATCTCTCTGAAGAATTGACAACATTGACGGCTTCAGCAACGCTGTGCCACTCCATGGATTTCTTCTTATTTGTTTTGCAAAAGCACTTACATTTCTCCACCTCACCCACAGGTACCTCAATTTCTGCTTCTGTGAAATTGCACTTCCTTGATCTGCCTTGATCTACGGTCGCCATCGTCATTGGCGGAGCGCTGCAACAGCTGGTTTATGTATATGCATGAGATCCACAAGGCACTTTGCACTGACTATTTATGGCAGTAAGTGGGCGTGGTGAGGGCGGGTTGTGACTAAAAAGCAGCTGAGAACCTTTCTAGATAGTTTCTGATTTATGAAGCGGAGATTGCGTGCAGCTGTGCGTACTCCATGTTTGATAGATCACAAACCTACTTGGCGTAAGTACATTTTTTTTGCTGAGCTTAAGTACGGTTTTAGTAAGGATTCTACGCAATGTTTGATAAATGTGACCCCAGGTAATTAACAGGCTTCTGCAGAGCTTGATGAGCTTCTGCACAGGTGATTAAACCACTGAATTTAGTGTTTTGAAGCAGAGAAACCACTAAAACATGCTGGATACCAGTCCTCGAGGCCCAGAATTGAATAGCCCTGCTCTATATTGTGCTTTCATAGTGGAAGTGACCTCATTATAAAGACGTATTAATGTTTTTTACAATATCTATGAATTCATTTTCAAATGGATACATCCCATCCCATCTGTGAGTTGCTGCCAAGATGACAGCCGTCTACATCCTCCTGGTGCTTGTTGTTGTGACGGCTTCCTTGGCCTTGTTGTCACACAATCCTGCAGCTCATGATTTATTTATCCCCTGCCCTCTGGGAGCACGGCTGTCCCTTTGAGTGTGGCTGGGAGATTAAAATATTAATTTCCTCTGCAGGGCCGATTGTGCTGTCTGCAGAGATGGGGAGGTGTGTGTGGGGGGGTGGGGTGGGGGTGGGGGTGGGGGGGTGGGGGGGGGGGAAACAGGTACTGTTATGTAAGAGGTGTAAGGCTCCTCCCCTCTCACTCGACTGACCTGTCACTGACTTCCATTATGGTGCAGACGTACGGCTCAACAAGGATATTCTAGTGCAGTGAAGCATGAGCAACACTGTAGGAGCAGAGGTGTGTGTGTGTGTGTGTGTGTGTGTGTGTGTGTGTGTGTGTGTGTGTGTGTGTGTGTGTGTGTGTGTGTGTGTGTGTGTGTGTGTGTGTGTGTGTGTGTGGTAACCATATGGGAACTCACTGTTGAAACTTTTAAGAAATACAGGCACCCTTTAGGTCCGTTAGTTTGACGAACACAAGCCTTTTTTACTGATTAATAAATTGTTGGTGGATCCCAAAGTATTAAATGGGACATAAAACTCACCTTTTGCATCTTTTTGCTACCATGTTGTTGTGGTCTGTGTCTGTGTCTCTTTATGTTCCTCATGTGTCCCCTGGTCCTCAGCCCTCCAGATATTCCCTCTCAGGTCCTGTGTTCCTTCAATCTCCCCCAGTTACCCCTCTGCAGTTATTTATAGGTTCAGCTTCTCTTTTTATTAGTCTCTTTAGCATGTTTTTCCCACAGGTTTTTGTAGTTTCCCTTTCCCTTAGAATATTAGTTTATTTTGCTGCTCATCTTGTCTTTAGGTTGTTTACTCTTAAGTCATGTTAGTTTCCTCCCTGATTAGTTAATTGGTCTCACCTGGTTCTCTCTCCACACACCTGCAGCCCATCATGCCCCAGTGTATATAAGCCCTGTCTTGTCTCAGTGTCTTGTCGGTCCATTGTTTGTGTGTCAGCGTTTTCTGGTGCTCTGTGTGAGCTTTGTGTCTCGTCCCAGTTTTGTGCTCTAGGTGAGCTTTTATTCTTCTGATTCTGGATTTTCGGCTCCCTGCCTTTGGATTTATTTTTTGTTCATCCTACAAATAAAAGGATTTTTTCTTTATATCAACTCCTGCCTTGTGTCATCCTGGGTATCTGCATTTTTGGGTCCTAACCATCCCCACAACGTGACACATGTAGGTCTTTACTGTCTCTGTAAACACTCCAAACTCCCGTGAAAGAACCCTGTCCATATATTTTTTCTGTGAGTGTTTGAGGAAATATCTGCCTATAGCAAGCCGTTTCAGAGAGTCCCCATTTGTGATGTCACAAACTGGGAATTTAGCATAGAACCACCTCTCACCACTATAAGTGACAATGTGTATTGTCTCTGCCAATGGGGGCAGTACATACCTAAATCTTTGCAAGCAAGCAATATTTTTATGTTCAAGTAAGATCTTACTAATGGATGGCCATTAGGGTCAAAAATCCCTGGGAGCACAATCCTCTAACAAGTACTTCGTCAGATTGTTCAACTTTCGGTAAAATGACGAGCACATCAGACTCCCTTTCATCACTGTCAACAGACGAAGAGGCAAATGTGTAAAACAACATTCATGAATGGCGAAAGTTTTGTCACTGCTTGTTACAAATCAGTAAATGCATTTTGTCCTCGTGGCTCACGTAGAAGGAAACATGGCATTGCCCAGAGACTTAGACCCACTCCCATATATTTTAGACCTAATTTTTATGGTTATGTGTTACGAAGCTGCCAATACTTGACAAAAACTGTGCATCACTTAATTGATTTTCAATGACATTTCAATGGATATTTCCAGAGATTAATGGTAAAAACTACACATTGTCCCTTTAAGAAAAAAATCGTTAATAGTCTCCTTTATATAATTTAAATCGATCCAAAAGTCACAGAACAAAATCAGCTGATACTTGGACACAAAATTCTTTTTCATTATACTTTCTTGTTTTCCAGTTTCAAGCCATTAAATGCAATTTTTAGTAACAATGTCATAAATATCTTATTACTATGAATTTCTGATTCTTGTTCATGAACTTCGCAGCTTCAGGGGAAGAAACTGTTCTTCGGCTTTGTTGTCCACACTGAGGATGTTCACTTGTCTGCCTGAAGGGAAGAGGGATGAGCTTTGTCCCTAGATTCTAGGATCTGGTTCTGCATATTGATGTTGGTTTAACACTGTTTGCAGCTTCTTTTTGGTGGATGTGTGCAGACCCAAGCCGATTCTAGCAGCTGGGATGAAATTATTACATCATCTTTGAAATTTTTATCCGATGACAATCTGTTGACTAGTTTAAGAGCAAAAGCTGCAGCACAAGTGACCATGTTTAATCCTTTGTGTAACATGCTTTGAATTTTCATTTAGAGCCTCAACTTGAAACTTTTAAAAAGTTTATAAAAAGGAAAAATAAAGTAAGATGTTTTGAGGAAATACTATTAAAAAGCACTAAAGTAGTTTAAAAATATTTGTTTATATTTTGTGTTTATTTTCCAAGATTCATTAATAAATAAGAGTACCGGTAAGAAGTGTTTCATGTCTGCCGTGTGTCACCAGGTCTCTGTTACAGCGGGTTCAGTTGACCTTTGGGTTGGAACGGGAGGGATTAAGTAGCCTTGTCAGACGTGAGGAGAGGATCAGGTTTTCAGATCCACCTGCAGAGCTTTCACCTTTGACCACAGAAACGCTTGGGAAAATAAAAACGGATTACTAGCGGAAAAGGAAAGTGCTGGTGTCTGACTTGCTTTGTGAAGTGAAGCAACTTATTTCCTAAAAATAACACTTTTTACCTCCTTGTTTTCAACGTGTAAAAAGCAGAAAACCCTGAGTTGCTGCATCATGTCAGGAAAGGTGCAAAAATGCAGTTTCAGCTCAATGTTGTTATTTTTAAGGCTGCAGCTTGCTCCAAACGGTGGCACACATAGTTTCACAATGAGGGTCACTTATGTTTGAGCTTGGCTCAGGAAGGGCTGTCAATAGACTCCTTTATGAGACAGTGGGGGGGAATTAGGCCATCAATGGGGGGGACTAAGCCATGTATGCGGTGCAACCACACTCGGGCCGGTGTTTGTTTTGAAGGTAGCACGAAACTGGTGTGACTTGTTTACACGGGATACGTGTCAGGAAGGGGTCAGTTCACACCTGGGAGGAGAAACTGACCACTCAGGTTGCATCAGAGCAAGAGGTGCAACCAGTCCCATAACAATCGAATTAGATGTAAAAAACATTCTATAATTAATAAATGATCTAACATGACCTCAGATTTATCAAGGAGTTCAAGTGACAATAATTTATTGAGATCTGGTTCATCCTGAAGAAAACTGTCCCTCCCAGGGCCTGGCTCAGGTTTAAACTGTTTGTTACATTTTAAAATAAAGATTTGCATTCAAACACACCAATTTTTGTAAGTTGTTTGTCACTATTTGAGACATTTTCATCATTGTATCCAATTTATTAAAACATCTATTTTTAACTATTATTGTTTCTGTGTTTTTGCCTTTGATGATTTGTTTGATCATGAAGAAATTTTGCTTAATTTTGGTCATTTTGCTTTTCTGTGCAGTTTTGTGAGCACCTACTGGATATTTGCATTATGCTGTTTATAAATCATTTTCTGATAAATCCATATATTTCATAATTTAGCTGTTTACAGCTCAGTTTGGCTCTTTTAATATTTCATTGAGTATTTTCTAGGATCTCATCACTTTGACTTTTTTATGTCATTGTCCCTTTAAGACAAGGGCTGCAATTCAACATGTTTTTGTTGTTTCCCTGAATAAACACACCTGATTTCAATCCACAGGTGATTAAACCATTGAATCAAGTGTGTTAGAGCAGGGAAGCAACTAAAAAATGCTGGATTGTGGCCTTCAAGAGATCCCTACTTTCAAGATTTTTCTGCTCCTAATTGACTTCATGTGCACATTTATACTTTCCCAACCCATTTTTTTCCAAATTTTTTAAAAATCTCTTTGGGCATTTCTTGACATGCAGGCCATTTTGAGTTCCCTTACAGCCTATTGTCACAGCTGCCAGCCTGAAGAGGGAAAAAGCAGCCAGGATCACCCAGCTCTGGTGATCAGCCGGACACCACCCCTCCTCCTCCTCTCTTCCAGGCTGCTGAGGAGCACAGCTGAGCTGAATCCTCCTGATAAGCCACACCTAGGATAAAAAGGCTGTGCCTTCAGCAGTCAGTGAGACAGCGGTGCAGGGGTTCTGCTGTTCTCCGTGATTCGTTTTATTTTAACCCCTTCGTTCATTCGAGTCTTTGTTTTGATGAGTTTAATTTTTATAGTTGAAACTCTTGAGTGATCCTGTGGGATCTTGTGTTCGTTTGTTTTAAAGGTTAACTTCGTTTGTGGAATATGATTGACTTCGGTTTTAAACACCTTCGTTTCAGTTGAGCTTTTAACTAAGTTTTAACCAGGTGTTTTTTAGTTGATCATTCGTCTTTTAATGTTAACCTTTTTGAGAGTTTGTGTTTGCATTATTTTTATAATGCCCGTCATCTGTTTGCCCGTGTTTTAGAACCTTTTTATAACAATAAAACCCGTTTAATATCCACTGTCCAGTTCTTAAGTTATCCCCATCCTTCACATTTTACCATCTCATGTCGGGGACGTAACATAAATGGGGGCTCGTCCGGGATTTTTAAACAACATCAGACCGCGAAGGAATGAACAATTCCCTGGTGGTGATATTTTAATGGTGTTTTATTTGTTTTAAAGGTTTTAAGCAACAGATGACTTGTGGGTGACTGGCGGGTGCTTCTGGAGGACCCGCCCCGCCGGATGATCCACTGCTGGATGGGCTCTCAGCATCTTCGAGCCTGATCCAGCCCAGGGTGATGAGAGGAGGATTGAAGAGGTTGGATCCAGAGTTGACCCCCTCAGGCAGGCTCAGAGGCTCTCCCTAGTTAGGGAGACCTGTTTTTACCTAGTGTTGTGGTGAGGAGGGTAGTGTTGGTGTCCTTTTGGGCACCATCTCGGGAGCACCCCAGTCTGGGGGATGTGCTATTCAGAGTCCTTCTTCCAGGCTCTGCTGGTTTTGTGCTTAATATGACCCCTCCAATATTCAGCATGAAGACTAGGGATTCAGATAGCCTATTTTATACCCAAGGCCAAAATCATCTGAAAAAAAATATATATATATTTTGAATAGAAATGCAGAGTAACTGAAAAATAGCCTAGCTTCTTATGTGAGAATAAATCCAAACGATTCTTATCCACTTGTTCAGCAAACAAACAAAAAAATAAGAAGAAACGAGGTGCATTCATTTTTGTTTGAACAAGCAGAGGACATTTATTTATAACGTACACAGGTTACGTCACCCATGAGTGGATCTTAGAGCAAAGTCTGTGCCTGAAAACAGAAAATACAGCAATTTCCACCTTAAATGAAAACAATCCATGCTTGTAAGATTCAGCTTGTGATGATTTCACCTCAGTACCGAAATCAATACTTCAAGCAGCTTCGGTTGACCTTCAGCGTACTTCTGATTCGGTGACCCGTCAATAATCTGGTAGTGTGACAGATTATAAGCTATGAAAAGGAAAAATCTAGCAGTATGGTTCATTTTAACAGATAAAATGGATGATTTTTTATTTTTAAGAAACTGTAGATTTCAAATCGATACATTCAAGTTTCAATAGTCATCATCGAGTCCTTGTTTTAGAGGTTGTCCTTCCTCACAGAGGTCATCTAAAGACAAATGTCTCATATAAATCATAAAGAGAACACCTACCTGGTTAAAAATCACTGGTTATAAGTATTTTTATCCAGACTCATTAACATATTCCATCTTAAAGCAGCTTAAAACATGCTGTAAATACACTCTAACATAGAGTACAGGAGCTCTGATGCTGAGAAAGGTTGGTCTCTGGGGGTCTACAGAAAACAGTAGAAACTATGAAGAAAAAGAGAGATTGCATCTTTTCTGCAGGTAGAAACATTCACAACTCTTCGTGCAGATCTTTGCGACTAGAAAAGCATTTTGGGTGGAAAAAAGGTGTGCGGTGCTTATGAATAATGCTTCTTTTTTCTTTTGCAAGGTTTGAATTCCCGAGCTTGTTAATAGTCTAAAACAAACATGTCTTGCATTACGTTAAAAGTGCACTTTAGAGATGAGAGTTAGAAGGCTTTTGTTCAGGAAGGTGAAGATCTAACAATCAGAACCCAAGTTTACAAAAAAATCTGATGAAAAATGGGAAAAGTGATCCATCCCAAAAAGTTAATAATACAAAGTTATGTAAAGATGAGAACCTCTCTAATTGGAGGTTCGAGTAGTGATGATGAATGTAGAAATATTTGTTAGAAAATGTGTCTTTTTGGCAAATTGCAGTTCTGTGAGGGGAAGGAGAATGTTATCTGTAGTGATGAGCTCAGAGTGAGGCTGAGGGATGGAGGCTACTGGAAACAGAGGATCAGGAGGAGAGCCCAGGCACCCGTCCTCCTGATGGATCACCAACGCTAAGAGGTCTGCAGGAGGCGTCTGTAGTGGGGCATGATCTCGTGTTCTGGCAGGTGCAGGTTGAACTCCAGCGCCACCAGGACAGGAAACTCAAACGCTATCAGCTCTCTGCGGTTCACCCTGAACCTCTCCTCCAGTTTCTGTCAAAAGGAAAACATAAAAAATAGGAAAGTGACATATTTGATATTTTATGGAATGCTTTAAATTTATGTCAGTTTTGTGAGAAAATTCAATCCCCGTCATCAGTATGATCTTTCAATCCGAAAACCAACTGTGTAAACTTTAAAAATAAGTACAAGTTACTGATTTTTTTCAACTGTTTTTATTAACGTGTTGGAATGGAATGTGTTTAATTAGGTTTATGTTTGAATAAGGTTTTTTAAATTGAGTTGTAACTATCTTCTTTAAAGAAACCCTGAGACTTGTCTTCTAAGATTTATTTGTATTAAAGTGACCCTTTAAATTTAGAAAGGTGTGCGCTGGGAGACTTACATCTATGAGAAGCTTAACTTCGTGTTTCTTGAGGTCACCGCCGATCTTCGCCGCCAGAAGGACGCAGGCGCCAGTGCAGAGCTTCCGATTCTGTTTGTTTAGTTTGCCTTGAAGAACAAGTTTTTCAAAGTAGACAAAAGCCATGGCCACTGTTGGCTCCTCAAAGCCACATTCGTCCTGAGCCAGTTTTTTTATCTCTCTTTTCAAGCTGTACAAACAAACATTCAGGAAGGGAGGAAGAGAAAGAGCGGAGATAGAAAACTAAAATAAAAACTGCTCATATTTTAGATTTAAAACAAAGGAAAATCAGGTTTTTTTGTTTAGTTTACCTTCTTATCTTGCTGAGGGTGAGTCGTATATGAGGGAACTTCTCTTTGAAAGTCTCATTCATGTCCTTCTTGAGGTCAAAAGGTTTGACGTATTCAATGACCGTCGTCTGAAAAGGAAAACCAGAGCTGGTGTCAAAGTGACCGGTCTCAACTATCCAGTACCAAGGCTGGATCCTTACACCTCAGTGTTGGATTCCTCGACCCAGTGAAGAGGGTTTCTGGGTGATGATGTTACCTGTGACACCCACATCCTTGTTATCACCACACAGACTTTTCCAAGAAATATTCTCCTTTTACATTGTCGATGTCGACCTTTCGCTACTAATAGGAAGTCATCAATTACAAAGTAGATAAAGAAGAAATACGAAACATTGTAAAAAACTGTGGAAACAAACGATCAACCGATTATCAGGACCTGGACATGATAACTGTTAAAACCATCATAGATTCTGTCATTGAACCATTCACTTACATTTGTAATCTATCACTTTCTACTGGAAATTTTCCTGACGCAATGAAAACAGTGAAAGTCATTCCTTTGTACAAGAGTGGTGATAAACATAGTTTCAATAATTCCAGGCCGGTGTCACTGCTTCCACAGTTTTCTAAAATATTGGAAAAAGTATTTTTATCAAGGTTGGATAAATTCAGTGAAAAAAAATAATATTTTAAACAATGAACAATGTGGGTTTAGAACTAAACATTCCACAGCAATGGCAATAATGGAATTAACGGATAAAATATCAACAGCAACTGACAATAAAAATGACTGTTAGTGTTTTCATTGATTTGAAAAAAGCTTTTGACGTCATTGATCACTCAAGGTTACTTCAAAAATTGTCAGTTTGGAATAAGGTGTGGCTCATCAATGGGTTAAAAGGAAACAGTTTGTTCAGATAAAGGACCATAAATCAAAACTATGTGAAATTAATTGTGGAGTGCCACACGGGTAGAGTCTGCGGTCCAAAACTGTTCATTTTGTTTACAAATGACTTGGTAAATGAATCTAAGACACTCGGTACCATTCTATTTGCAGATGATACCACACTGTTTTACTCAGGATCAGATATTGAGGAGGTGGCTAAAGTGATAATTGATGAACTGATTAAAATTAAAAACTAGTTTGATTGAAATAGATTGACACTGAATCTTAATAAAACAAATATTATACTGTTTAGTGATAAAATGAGGCATGTTCAGATTTAAGACAACTGACTTCCACAAACTGGTTGACTAGCTATGGGCAGTTTAAAATCATAACAAGGTTGGAAACATGCTGTAACTTTTTTCCTCTATATGACACCTGGCATCACACGTTTGGAGCAAGATGCTTGAGCTTCTTGAGATCCTTTTGGAAACTTCTGAAAGAATAATTTTTAAGAATTGAATAGCTCAAGCAGTAAGAGAAGCAACTGGTAAGTCAGTGTTTGTAGGTTCAAATCTCAAAAGTGTGTTTTCTTTGTTCTAAAATGTGAGAAGTTAGGAAAATTAACTGTCTGATATAAAGATCAAAGGTCAAAGTTAATTATGACTTTCAAAGATATGTTTGTAACAACTTGAAATATCTTAAATAGCATCAAAAATAACTTAGAGATTAGAGTACTATACATTCAGTGTCATGGAAAAAGTTTAAAGTTTCCAAGTGTTTTTGGATCAGTGTAAAAGTTCAAAACTTTTTTTTAAAAAAGTGTGTAATTTAACTAAAACGAAGACAAATACCTTTAGTTCAAATCCTGCTTGTGTAGGTCTGAGTTTCTGAGTTTTATGAACCAGTAGTTAATTATTTCGAATGATCAAAAAGGATAGTTTAAGAGGTTTTAACTGAATTTCAAAATAATCTTTATATAGTAAAGTTTCAACCAGTTTTACCACTAAACCACCAGCGAGATGTGAGGTCTGACTGTTGGATCAGCTCAAAAATAAAATCTCAAAGATCTGAATCTTTTGATTTCAGGACTCATCCCACTTCTACCTGGGTCTAATATCTAATATCTCAGTCTGTAAGACACTCGGTTGCTGTGCAGATGTTTCAGAGTTCAGTCCTAGTGGTATGTTGTCATTTTAGGCCCTGTCCACGCGTAGCTGGGGATCTGCCAAAACGTAGATATTTTTCTACGTTTTGGCCTGTCATCCACACGAAAATGGAGTTTTTTCACACAAAAACGGATCTTTTTAAAAACTCCGGCCAAAGAGAAGATCTGCGTTTTCTCAGTTTTGGGTGTCTGCGTGTGGACAGACAAAACCGGAGTTTTAAAGTCCGCAACGTCACTTTCCGCGACAAAAAATGCTGACATCACATGTGCGACCTGTGTTTACACTAGCCAACAGCATGGATGCCCTCAGAGCTGCGCTCACTTTATCAATTGTCCAAGCGCTTTTTGCTTGTTTGTTTTTGCAAGTGGAATTACTGCTCCTTGCGGAAGACCACAGACGAAGGACGAGGTTAAGAACGGCTATTGCCTGGCACCTGGCTTCTCCAAGTACTGCCGCCTACAGGTCTGGCATGTCCTTAACAACGTATTTATCCGGGTACGTGTGGACAGTTTTTTTTTAAACGAGGTGGTGTGGATGCAAGTTTTTGGAGGGGCGGATATTCGTTTTTTTAAAAACCCGGCTACGTGTGGACTAGGCCTTAGACTTCAAGTGAATTCCTTGAGAACTTGAAAAGCTAAAAAGAACGAGTTAAGAAAATCACCTTCTGTAGTTCAGGCTGTAAGGTGTTGGGAGTTGTGTGCAAAATGTTCAGGGTTCATTTCCAGTAAGAAATTATGTTTCACTTGGACCTTTATCTGGATTCTTGACAACATGAAAAGCTCTAAAACACATAATCCTTATGTCTGCTTGAGTAGCTCAGTGTGTAAGGTATTGGGATAATAAGCAAAAAGTCCATGTTTCAGTCCCAGAAAAAGCCTGCAAAAGGTTTGCCTTTTAAATTAAAATGACAAGATGAATTGTTCCACCAGAACACTTTCAAGTGTGAATGGTTCTGGTGGCATAGTGGAATAGTTTGTGTTCATAAGTCACCAGAGGCGCAGCACCTGGTTCAAATCCCACTGAGGACTGCTAGACCTGGACCAGTGGGACCACTCTGAAAGATGCTGGGTGGGGAACCAGAAGCAATTTTAAGCTTTAAGTGAATCCTTGACAACAATAATTACTCAAAAAAAAAAAAAAAAAAGCACAGAGCTAGTATCTAATTGACTTGCTCAGTCTGTAAGACAATGGGTTGTTAGCTTAAAGGTCCAAGGTTCAAAGCCAGGAGAAGCTACTAGTGTGGATAATTGAAGTGCAAAGCAAATGTGGGCTTTACATGAATTCTTCACAACATGACTGGCTGTGACATTTTTAAGTACAAAAGTTGAAATGACAAGTTCAAATGTCCCACCAGAACATTCTCAATTGTGAAGGGTTCTGGTGGCGCAGTGGGATAGATTCACGTTCGTAAGTCGCCAGTGGTGCAGCAACTGGTTCAAATCCTGCTTGTGACTGACTGGACCTGGATCAATGCGACTACTCTGAAAGGGGTCAGGGAGGGGGTTTGATTCCCTCCCTGAGTTTCTAACGCGTAAATATATGGGGTTATGCTGAGTGAAATGGTGTTCAAGCTGGACTTTTGCAGAAGTAATGGGAAGAACCAAGTTACCTGACCACAAATTTGACATAGACCAAGACCTTCTTCTAGAGTCAACTGGCCAAAGTCACTTAAAGTGAATCTAATCTAGCTGGCATTGATCCAGGTCCAGTCAGTCACAAGCAGGATTTGAACCAGTTGCTGCACCACTTGCAACTTATGAACACGTACTATCTAACTGCACCACCAGAACCCTTCACACTTGCAGATGTTCTGGTGGGACATTTGAACTTGTCATTTCAACTTTTGTACTTAAAAATGTCACAGCCAGTCATGTTGTGAAGAATTCATGTAAAGCCCACATTTGCTTTGCACTTCAATTATCCACACTAGTAGCTTCTCCTGGCTTTGAACCTTGGACCTTTAAGCTAACAACCCATTGTCTTACAGACGGAGCAAGTCAATTAGATACTAGCTCTGTGCTTTTTTTTTTTTTTGAGCATTTATTGTTGTCAAGGATTCACTTAAAGCTTAAAATTGCTTCTGGTTCCACACCCAGCATCTTTCAGAGTGGTCCCACTAGTCCAGGTCTAGCAGTCCTCAGTAGGATTTGAACCAGGTGCTGCACCACTGGTGACTTGTGAACACAAACTATTCCACTGCACCACCAGAACCCTTCATACTTCGAGGTGTTCTGGTGGAACATTTCAACTTGTCATTTTTGTCATTTTTATTTAAAAAGGTAAAACCTTTTGCAGGCTTTTTCTGGGATTGAATCCTGGACTTATTGCTAATTATCCCAAAACCTTGCACACTGAGCTACTCAAGCAGACATGAGCTTTATGTGTTTTAGAGAATTTCATGTTGTCAAGAATTCAGCTAAAGGTCTAAATTAAACATTATTTCTTATTGGAATTGAAATCTGGACTTCTTGCACACCACTCCAAAACCTTACAGCCTGAGCTACAGAAGGAGATACCCTTAACTTGCTCTTTAGAGCTTTTCAAGTTCTCTAGAAACTCACTTGGAATCTAAAAGAACGCCTTTCCACTGGGACTGAACCCTGAAACATCTGTACAACAACCCAGTGTCTTACAGACTGAGCTATGAGACCCAGGCAGAAGTGGAATGAGTCCTGAAATCAGAGGATTCTGAGCTTTGAGTTTTTATTTTTACCTCTGAGCTGCTCCAACAATCAAATCTCACATCTCACTGGTGGTTTACTGGTAAAACTGGTTGAAATTTTACTATATAAAGATGATTTTGAAATTCAGTTAAAACTTAACGTTTTTGATCACTAGAAATTTAGAATTTCAACAAACTGCTGGTTCATAAAACTCAGAAACTCACATTTTTTTCCAAGACAACAAGTAACATGACAAAACAACCCACAGAGTCCGAACAAAACCGAGATTTCATGAAAAAAATGCAAAGCTTAATGCCAAAGAGACATTTCACTGTTTATTTTTACTTAAAACTTCTGTTATTTTATTTTATTAACCCAAGATTCTAAAAATGGGTGAAAAAACTGGTGTTAATGAGCTGAGGAAAAGGTGACTAACAACGTGACACCCAGAGCTTGGTGTTCATTTCACAGTAAAACCTGTACAACCAGTCAAATTATGTGATTATTATGATTTCACAGCAGCAAAATTCATTGTATCTGCTAAAAGCTTTAATAACCTTTCTGTCTTCAAAGTGGATGGTTGAAAAAAATTTATTTAAGCACTAATAAGTTATTCTATTATTATTGCACCAGGAATAAATATTTGGGGAAAGATTCTGGGTCAGCACCATGACGCAAACTTGGAGCCTTAGTATGGACAGAATCCTGGAAAAGGCAAACGTGTGTGCGTGCATGCATGCGTGTGTGTGTGTGAGAGAGAGAGAGATTTTTTTGTTTTTTTATTTTCTTAGTGGCCTAGTGGTATGAATGTCCACCCTGGAACTGGGAGATCGGAGTTCAAACCCACCGTCAGCTCCTACAAAGACTTTAAAAATGGGACCAATGCCTCCCTGTTTGACATTCAGCTTTAAGGGGTTGGATTGGGGGGGTTAAACCACCAAATACTTCCTGGGTGCAGCCACCGCTGCAACTCACCGCTCCCTACAAGGATGGGTCAAATGCAGAGATATGATTTCACCAGCCAGTGATGATGACTAACGGGCCTTAACTTTAACGTTGTCCAAACATTTCCTGTACGTAGAGACGGTGGAAGCATTGACAACGATATGATGTGATTCCATATTAGATTTTGATGAATTGTTGTTTTTATGTCTGTAATTCTGTACGTTATGTTTTAGGTGTTTGAAAAACTTGTTGCATGCACCCCTTTTGTAATTTTGACGTCAAAGGTCTCTGCCTGACACGTTAGCAGATGTTTAGAGGCACTTTGTATTCACGGTAGATGAAGTCGTGGAAACAAATGCCACTTAGTAAAGAAAGTCAATTATAAGCATAAACCCACACTCACATTTATTTTATTCCTCTACAAACTGCTGCATATTTGCATTTAAAAAAGAAATGAGATTCTAAAAAGCAGGAAAATGAACCGGTTCCACTTGAGTAGAAATACAGTCACTATTGTTGTTTGGTTCTGGGTTTGGTAACTGGAGGAAGAGGAAAGGAAAACATCTCAGTCAGTTTTTTTTGCAAGTCTCTACAGCACAAACAACTTGTTTCCCCTCTTTTTCCTATCAAAAATAAAAAGTTTTTGCCTTTTCAGAAAAGACCCCACCGCTGACCTTGCTGATTAACAACTCCCTGAAACATCCCCCTGACTCATTTTTTTTAAAACAGCTGATAAACTTGAGGAAATATATCTACTTTAGAAACAAATTTGCAGAAGAATCTTTTCAGGGTTATTGTTCTTGACTTTGGCGGAAAGACGAAGCCCAACGAGGTCAATATTGATGATAAAAATGAAATGAACCTTTAACAGAGGAAAAAAACACAGTAAAGTAGCACAGGATATTTTGAGAAGACTTGTCAAAAGCCTCTTCTTGGTTTTGTTTTGAATGAAAACAACTTTCCCAGTGTGCTGTGGAGAGGACAGGGCTGAGGTCACTGCTGTTGTTGCTGGTGGTGGTGTTTTACACGTAGGCATGTATTTTCTCACCATGTAAGAGGGGAAGATGAGAACTCTTTTGTGTTTTCCACAAGGCCACTGCGGATCATCCAGCAGGTTGGGGTCGTACTCGCGGAAGTCTCCAAAGTCGTTCCCTAAAACCAGTGCAATAAAAACAAAGGTTACGCTCAAGTTTGGTTCTATGTCTGTAACAAAAATGCATTATTTCACTGAGGATGGAGAGTGGAAACATCCAACCGTAGGTTTACTAACCTGTGTCTAAGCTGCTCTGGTTGCTGTTGGCTCGGCCCAAACTCAGGCTGCGGTGGCTCGCATTACGGGACTGAGAGAAGGACGAGGTGGAGTCGATCGTGTTCCTTCGGCCACCCAACACATTGGTGGGATACAAGAACTGGGTGTAGGACACAGTCTGCAAACAGGAAGTCAAAGGTCCAATAAAACATGCAACGCTCTGGGCATCCGTGTTGAATTGTCTGTGTGAATAAAGCTTTCTGTCAAATGTTTCTCCGTTCATCATATTTTTCAGCTTTTCTGCGTGATTGATTTATTTTAAAATGGAACTTAAGATGCTTTTATGTAAAAAATTAACTGTTTGACATTTTCTCACCTTTCCATCTGCCCCCAACTCCACTCCCTCCAGCCCAATCACCATCTCCTTGGCACTTACACCTCCCGATGGGTGCCGCTGACGCCCCTCTGCCTTCATATCCCTATTGAGCACAAGACTTTTAGAGCTCTCGCCAAACAAACGTCTCTAATTTCCCTTTTTCCTTCATCTTCCTGGACCCTTTCCTATTATCGCTCACTCTACATACAAAGACTTATCGATCTGGCCTACTTTCTGTAATTGCTAGTGCCTCTGGATGCACCAAGGCCGTCTGAAATAAAACACACCCTGGGGAGAAAGGATAGAGAAAAGTACGGCTAGTATTGTGTCCGCTTGTTAGAAAAAACATCTTCCACTGCCTAAAACAGCTCATGTTGCTGTGGGAGACTTGAAGACGGCCTCACTAACTCTCCTGAAGATGAAAACAGACTGTGCACGTGGTTTATGGTCTACATGTTCACAGATTTGTTTCTGCTGCACAAACATGAGAATGAAAACATGAGTCAAACAACAATATTCAGCTGTCAATCTGCTGCTCAGAGTTACGGATCAAACCAGATTATGACTGAAAAATAACATTAGGTGACTAGAATGTTCACATGTTGGCCATTTTATTAGGTACACCATTTACATTTCTTGCTAACAGCTAATTAGCCAATTGCAAGACTGCAGTTCAGTCCATTCAGACACCTTGGTGCGGTGATGTTAGCCTAGAAAGCAGAAGCAAAATGACTTTGCTCTGCATGTCGGTCTAGCCATGCTCCCATGGCAGCTCAGACCAGTATTGTGACTTGCCAATCACAGCGCTCTATCAGTTTGATGGGCCAATCACAGCGCAGTCTGACCCTCAGCTATAGAAGCTGGCTCTTGGCACCATGACACAATGTCACCTCTCTGGTGGGGAAGGAGCCTGACTTGGTGTGTGAGGTTGAGACCTCGACGCATGGCTCTAGCTCCAGAACCAGCTTCCCTGAGAGGGGTTGGACACTACCATTCAGGATTTGTTCCCACTGAAAGGCTCCGAGCAGGGGTGGGCATACTAGCTGCCCCTCATCTTGGTGCCTGTATGTTGGGGTTCACCCCGATGAATGAGAGGGTAGCCTCCCTCCCCCTACGTGTGGGGGTATGGGTCCTGAATGTGGTCTGTGATTATGCACCAAACTACAGTTCAGACTACCCTCCCTTTTTGGAGACCTTGGAGGGGTGCTGGAGAGCGCTTCTATAGGTGACTCCCTCGTTCTGCTGGGGGACTTTAACGCTCATGTGGGCAACGACAGTGAGACCTGGAGAGGTGTGGTTATTGGGAACACCCCCCCACCCCCATCTGAATTTGAGCGGTGTTTTGTTATTGGACTTCTGTGCACCTCATGGATTGTCCATAGTGAACACCATGTTCAGACATAAAGGTGTCCATATGTGCTCTTGGCACCAGGAAACCTTAGGCCGCAGCTTGATGATCGACTGTTGTCGTCTCATCTGATCTGCGGCCTCATGTCTTGGACACTCGGGTGATGAGAGAGGCGGAGCTTTTAGCCTTTCTAACCCTGACCACTACCTGGTGATGAGTTGGCTCAGATGGTGGGGGAGGAAGCCGGTCAGACCTGGAAGGCCCAAACGTATCGTGAGCGTCTGCTGGGAACGTCTGGCAGTCTCCTGTCAGAAGGAGCTTCAATTCCCACCTTTGACAGAACTTCCAAAACGTTCCGAAGGAGGTGGGGGACATCAAGTCCGAATGGGCCCTGTTGTGTCAATATTATTCAGAGTAGCAACACTCTAGAACAGAGGTGTCAAACGTGCGGCCCGCGGGCCGGAATAGGCCCGCACACATAACGCGAGATGATTGTGTAAACCTTATTTTCAGACTTTAAAATGTAAAGTCTGAAAATAAGCTTTCATTTTTCAGTTAAACTATTGGTGAAAGCTAAAAGATGTCAGGTATCAGGAGTCAAAGACATGCATGAAACTGACATAGCCATGTGATCTGTGAATCAGTTATTTGAATTACTGAGAAATAGTCTGGGTTTTTGTTTTGTATTTCACATTTTCAAATACACTTCAGGTGTTTTATTATTAATGGTGATGTTGTGCTTAAACTATTTTGGATACACTGTCCTCAGGCTCCAGCTTTGTTTTATGTTGATCATATTAAAACAAAGAAAACAATCTGAAGCAGTTTTTAATTTATACATACTTTAATTTTACTGGTCTGGCCCACTTGGGACTAGATTTTCCTCAATGTGGCCCCTGAGCAAAACTGAGTTTGACACCCCTGCTCTAGAACAACCGCAGAGGTTAAGTCAGAACACGGTCTTGTTTTCCTGCTTCCTTATCTTCCTATTTTTAGCTTGAAACCACCTTCAGATGCAAACACATAAATCCTCACACGACTCTGCGGATGTTGGTGCCGATCTGTTAGGATGAAAACAGTGTTATCGGGTAGACAAGCACGCACAGACACAATTATTGACACATCTTGGGGAACAGATCCGCAGGCAGCAGATGTTTCATATAACAGTGAAAACAAAAAAATAATAATAATAATAATGGAAGAGAGAAAACAGAGGACACAGGAAATGCTTATATGGAGCGAGGTTTGTATGAAGCCATTCAGAAATAAAGGTTCTGCTTTGTTCTACTGGGATTAAAGAGGAAACACTAGAATTTTTTTGCAGCATGCAACACTTGCAGGACTAAAATAAATCTCTGTTGGTGTTTTAATCTGTGAGGAGTGCTCATCATACTTCTAAAAATCATGCAAACGGGAAGTTTTATGCTTCTAGCTCACATAAACAGCGAGAGCATCTACTTTACAGCAGCGAGGAGCTTTACGTGATCTGCATCAATTTTACTGTCAGAAAAAACAAGGAGGAGATCTTACAAGAATGAGCAAATTTTACTGCAGTTTTATGTGTTCTGAAACTGTGTGGCAGGATGGAGAAGACAAAATGAAAAATGTTAAACATGTGGCTAACTCCTTATTAAAACTAATAGTTATTCTGAGTCATTTTAACATTTCAATTTTAGACAAATGTAGTGGTTTTGTGTCAGATAGTCAAGCTTTTAGTTTCATTTATTAGCGTTAAATATTTTTATTCTACAGTATTTTGGTCTATTTTGTTTTGTTTTATGGGGAAAAAACAATTCTCATTCAAATTGTATTACTTAATGTTGTTTTTTTTACAGGGAAACCGATATCATTAAATGATTAATGTTAGATTTTAAAGGTGTGGAACACTTCTTTAATCAATACATTTGCAGCGGTCTAGAGTAGGAATGAATGCCTTGTAAATCGTGCTTGGGGTGGCAAAAAACACTGATGCACCATTTCCAGGAACTAGAAGTGAGCCACATCACAGCTGAACTTCAGACGGCATGCTTTGGAGTTTGATTTCCTGATTTTTGGACATCTCACCTCTGACTGGATATCAGCAACCCAACTCTACCACTGATTTGCAACGCTGATGTTTTATCTACACATATAACTCAAGCCTGGGGTTCTGTGGTGAAGTTGCTAATGCTAACAGTTAGCTTCTACTAGCCGAGACATTCTCTGCTGTTTCCTGGACATTACCAAATGCTACTGCAGAAGATGGGTGCATTAGACTATTTTCATGTTCAGCCTGCATGAAAAACTAAAGAGTGACTGATTATAATCAAAAGTAAGATTTTAAAAAGGTTTTTTTTTTTTAGTTCGATGCCTTTAAACTACTTTTTTTTTGTTGTGGTTGAATTTAAAATAACTCAGAATGTTATTTTCAATATTTGCAGAATGTCATATTTTACATCAGGCTCTTTTTCTGACAACTTAAACCAGATAGCAGGAAATCGTGATAAAAGCTAGCCACTATGTTAGTCATGCTAGCAGCGAGTCACAATAGCAGCAGGTCACGATTAAAGCTAAAGTCATAAAAAAAGCGAGTCACAAAAGCAGCTAGTGAAAGAATAAAGTTGCAGAAATGTTTCAAATGGTTTCAACTCGTGTTTGGGATATGATATCCAATAATATCCTCTTCAAAACTTCGAAAACGACAAATCAAGATTTCCAAACTGACTTTTTATTGTTTCTGCACAGTTTAAATTGTATTGGTCATATTATTTAAATCAAGTAAATATAAACTAAACAGAAAACACCAGCCAAAAGGGTGTTTTGAATCCATGCTATTATTAAAACTGGAGTGAATCTCTATCTTACTTTAACATGAAACTTGTATTAAATGAGGTGAAAAGGGACAAAAATTAGGATGCATAGGAGGTGGAAATCTGTTTCGGAAAAGTTGCCCCAAATCTGATGCTGTTTTGCAGCTGCAGTCATTTGGCTCCAACAATCAGTCAGACACGCATACTGGAGAGCGCTGGGGGTTAATTAACCTTTGACCTTACTCCTATTGGCTGGCTCAGGACATTCCACAAATGCTCTGAGCTTGTTGCGCTCCTCACTAAAACCCCAGTGTGGCACTTTGCTTTCTGTACATTGTCTTCTGATGTTTGTCCCATTTTCCTTCCACTTCCTCCAAAACACGTTGCTCCGAATCACTCCTCTACTTCTACTAGTCCCACCAAAAGCCAAGTGGGTTATTTTACTTTACATTAAAGAATAAACTAAATAGATAAATAAAACAATACAATGGTAACATGCATCAGACCCGGGAATGGTTGGCATGGTAAACAGATGCAAGAAGATGATTTGAGAGGAGAATAAACCATGAGTGCCACCAGCGCCGTTATAGAAAAAGCAAGACAAGCAACAAGAGCTATGCTACAGTCAGTAAGGAACTATCAATGCTAATATTCAACTATGGCATTCACCGAAACCAAGCCTTCGAGGGAAGAAGGAGGGATGAGAAAAAAACAAAAAGGAAAGAGGGAGCACAGGATGGACGGAGTTATAAAGGTTCGACATGCTGTCGGATACATACCCTGCTTGGCTACAATCTCGATACGGCAGGACAGAAAATACACTATAGAAGGATCTTCTGCCACTGATAAGGACTATCCTACGAAAACAGAAACATGCTCGTCAGCATCTATCTCACCACAGATCCACAGGGCAAGGCTGAAGAAAGTTTACAGTTAAAACTTTAGAATGTAGAAAAAAAAGAAGAAGGGTTGAGACAGTTTGTGTTTGCTGGACCAATGTAGGGTACAAACGTTCTGAGCTACCGGTCAGATCTAAGAACGTTGCTCCTAAGAACATGTACTTTTCGTGTTTTTAAAGGTTCAAGAAGCTTACTGCAGGTTCTTCAGAATTTCACGGGGGACACGGGTTGTTTTTTTCCCCTCCTCCTAGAGTCCAGACTAGAGGTTGACCGATATTGGTGTTTCTATTGCCAATGCCGATAGGAGATATCATCTTGTCGATATGTACTGGCGATTTTTATGGGCTAATTTCCACGGCCGATATCCAGACATTTTCCACCTTATTTTCGTGCTAAAATGTCACTAATAAATTTGGATGATGCACAAATTTTCTGAAACTGAATCGGTTTTTGAACTCTGAATTTATCAGTTAATTCTTAAGTTTGTGCACCGCTCAGTGTAAAAGTCAGACACATAAATAAAGTGAATGTAGAGTATTTATTATGCAGATGTAATTAGTGAACATTAAAATACATTTAAATTAAATTCTGCAACAGCACCGGGCTGCCCGAGGAGGTGCCTGACTTTACTAGGACAAATAACAGCCGATCCCAACATAATAAAAAACGATAAATATTGACCTGATATATCGGTCTACCCCAGTCCAGGTCAGTAGATCGTCGTATAGCCCTGACCATTTAAGCTCCATAAAAAAGACCTAAACTCGATAGATGCACCAGTGCTCACACTTCAGAACATAAACAAAATGAAGATTTTTACAAATGATCGAGTACCAAATCCCAATATGACCAAAAATACAACAAATGTCCTAAAAAGACCTGAAAGACCATCAGAAAGTTTGAAGAAGCTAATATTTCTGGATCCTGTGAAGCCAAATGAAAATAAGTCAAATACCAATGCAGCTTAATATTTCTGTACATTGGTTTTAAGAGAAACACAATAAATGTTTTGTTACAATAGAAAACTATTTGTCTCGACTTGTGTATGCAGCGGAATGACTCTGGACTATCAAGATAACAGAAAAAACACAAAAAAAAACCATCCTGAATGATAAAAACACTATAGAAATAATATGGAACTGCTCTTTAAATAGCCAAAACTCAGAAACACTCACACTACGGAATAAAAATCTAAATACAATTTAAAAGGTGAGCCAATATTTATTACAGTGAGGGATTCATGTGCTGCCAACATGCTCATAAACATTGTGACACAAAGATGTGATTCATCGTTCAGCAGTGATCAAATTGAAGTTGAAATGAAAGTTGCTAGGTAACCAGAAAGGATTTCCAGGGATTTCTGTGGATCTAAAAGTCAGAATGAGGTGTTGGGAGTGTTGGGAGTGGGCGGAGCCTGCTCGCCTGCCTGTAACGTGAGAAACACTCAAACTGCTCTTCATCGACTGGGGGAGTCTGCAATCATTCAGTCAGGACTTGCAATGACTAAACGGTGCCATTGTTTGCCTCCATACCTTCCATTGCGCATATCGTGTTGCTTCATGTTGTTTACCAAGTGGATCTTCTTGAAGCTCTTTGGTCGGGGTGAACCTGAGAGGGTTCGGCATCTAAAATGTGAAAGGATAAAATGTCAGCATCCTGAATCCTTAAAGCTGAATATCTGGCTCTAGATGTTCTGTGCTGCACCTGCGAAGAGGAGCGTTCTCCTCGATGTCCTCAAGAGTTTCGAGCGACGATCTCTGCGAGATGAGCCTTCGTCTGGGAACACAAAACAAAAAAGGTAGGTTGATGCTAAAAAACGCAGATAAATGTTCAGCATCACATCTTTTTCTTAAAACAAATAGCTCGGAAAAATAAAAAATATATATTTTACTGATCCACGTTTCTCCTGCACACAAACACAAAGCAATTAAATTAAAATGTACAAAACTAAATAAGCTTTTTAATACCTAAAACCGATAAAGTGGGAGGAGAAAATCCACAAGAGCTCATAAATTCAGGTCAGCTTAGCTGTTAAACATACACACACACACACACACACACACACACACCAGCATTTACCATCTAAACTCTAAACCACATCGACTTAATGCAAAGCAATGGGTTAATTACTAGTTAAAGCTGTTATCTAACTCAATAAACTCCTCTAAAACATTATTTAAAGATTAAATGTAAAATTTGCCTCAGAGCTAGCTAAACCTTGTTCAAAACAAAACATTTATGAAGTTGTGGAAAATGTAGAAAACTAAAGACTGAGTTGGGTTTTTTTATATTTACCACAAAAAAGTTGAAGATGAAAATGAGAATTCTCGTGTTTAAGGAAGTTCTTTATAACAAAAGCCAAGAAGTCCAGGAAGGACTCGCCCTTCATGCTGCAGTTTTGAACTAATACAATGTTATGTAGTAAAAAGATGGATTTAAAGGTATTTTGATCAAAAATTAGAAAATTAAAACGATCTTTTTAAAATAGATTTTCTCTGATCTGTTATCACTAAGAGTGAGCATTGGGAATAACTTGATTTTTTATTTTTGTGTAACATTTTTAGAATTGATTGCTATAAGGTCGTAAACTGGTAGAGTGCCTTCTGCAGGTCAGGGATGAGGTCCTGCCTCAAATGGAGGAGTTTAAGTATCTTGGGGTTTTGTTCACGAGTGAGGGTAAGCTGGAGCGCGAGATCGATAGGTGGATTGGTGCTGAGTCTGCAGTGATGTTGACGTTGTACCGGTCTGTCTTAGTGAAGACAGAGCTGAGCTGAAAGGTAAAGCTCTCGATTTACCGGTCGATCTACGCTCCACCCTCACCTATGGTCATGAGTTTTAGGTAGTGACTATAAATGATGAGATTGCGGATACATTAATTTTCTACAATGAGTTTTCTCCGCAGGGTGTCTGGGCTCTTCCTTGGAGATAGGGTGTGAAGCTCAGTCATCCTGAAGAGGCTTGAGTAGATCCACTGCTCCTCCATATCGAGAGGAGTCAGTTGAGGTGGCACGGGCATCTAGTTAGGATGCCTCCCTGGTGAGGTTTTCCAGGCACGTCCAACCAGGAGATGACTATAGGAAGACCCAGGACACACTGGACGAGCTAAGTCTCTCACCTGGCCAGGGAACACCTTGGGATTCCTCCAGAAGAGCTGGCTCAAGTGGCTGGGAAGAGGGAAGTCTGGGCCTCCTCTGCTTAGCCCCCTTGACCAGACTCCGGATAAGCAGCCGGAAATAGATGGCTGGATGGATTGCTATAGGGTTTATTGGCTGTGATAGCTATCTTCAATAGTGCTGACTCAAAGATGTAATCAGGTGATGTCCTTGAATGCATCAATTACTAATTTGTGAGTGCTTCATTAATAATCTGTAAAGTGGCCTATGAGCTATCCACACACGCAGTGTGCCAATGGAAATAAGCCTTTTGGCAATAATTGAGTACAAATACATAGTAAAATGTTCATTAAAACACACACACACACATAAAATGTCCAAATATCAGGAAATAAGACTCCAAATCCATCTTCTGGTCTGATCTCCTCTGGCTAACTTCAACTTTCTGAAACAAGAGTGCCAGAGCTTTTAATCCCACAGAGATCAATTCACAAGGCATTTGTTTATGCTAGAGACCACCGCAGATGTTCTGCAAAAAGGAGTGAACTTGGTCTTTAACATCAAGTGTGTGTGTGTGTGTGTGTGTGTGCGTGCGTGACTGAATGCTTTAGAACAAGAGGTCAAGTTGTGGTTGTGAATTATCAGTTAACACTGTGTGGCTGGAGAACACAACGCAGTCTTTTCTCAGATCAGGAAGAATTTCCCAGGATCAGAGCTGCTAAGAGGATAACAAGCTGGCTCTGTGAGCAGTGTGTGTGTGTGTGTGTGTGTGTGTGTGTGTGTGTGTGTGTGTGTGTGTGTGTGTGTGTGTGTGTGTGTGTGTGTGTGTGTGTAACACGTTTTGTCACAGATGGCCTTTATTTCACACTGTAGTTGCTCGACTCAACAGGCTATTTCTGCTGGAGCACTTTTATATGATCAGCTGCCAGCTTCGGAAAATAAACCCACATGTGACAGCTAAGAATCCCTGAGCTGCTGCAAAATGAGGTAATAATTGCGTGTTTACCGCCGATCCGTTAACACTACATCTTGATGGAGGCCAACTACTGCTTCAACCCTGCGAAGTGTATGAATCCTAGTTCCATTTGACTGCTTTTACGAATGGAGGTGTGTTTTAATGCAGATGTGGTGCCATATTTATAGAGTTGAATGATCTAATCACACTTAACTGTCACATGGAAGAACATGGAGCGTAAAGTAGCAGGTTAATAAATGACAGAACCAGAATAAATGTCCTTGAGGAACCCCCAAATGTTAAACAACAACTCAAGCTATTTGAACAAGTATAAGTATACCAGAGGAGACTGAGTGAAATTTTATCAGTAACCACAAGGGAAGAACACCAGGCTCCAATAAAGTCAGCTCTGACAATCAGTGTGATGCAATCAGCTGGCAAATGACATCATCTTAGACGGTCTTTACCAGGATTGGAAAAAGGGCCAGGTCTGACCTTGGCCTGAAGGTCAGACGATGGGGATCGTGTGATTAATGGTCAGGCTTTCATCATCTTCCTGCCGTGACGACCATTACACAAGCACAAATGGGGAAAAAGTATAACAATTTAGAATATTCCTAAACTCGTGTTTTACTATGCAGGTCCTTCTAAAAAAATTAGCATGTTGTGATAAAGTTCATTATTGTCCCTAATGTACTGATAAACATTAGACTTTCATATATATTAGATTCATTACACACCACTGAAGTAGTTCAAGCCTTTTATTGTTTCTAATATTGATGATTTTGGCATACAGCTCATGAAACCCCAACATGCCTATCTCAAAAAATTAGCATATCATGAAAAGGTTCTCTAAACGAGCTATTAACCTAATCATCTGAATCAACTAATTAACTCTAAACAACTGCAAAAGATTCCTGCGGCTTTTAAAAACTCCCAGCCTGGTTCATTACTCAAAACCGCAATCATGGGTAAGACTGCTGACCTGACTGCTGTCCAGAAGGCCATCACTGACACCCTCAAGCAAGAGGGTAAGACACAGAAAGACATTTCTGAACGAATAGGCTGTTCTCAGTGTGCTGGGGTGCCATGTCAGCTGGTTGGTCCACTGTGTTTTATCAAGGGCAGGGTCAATGCAGCTAGCTATCAGGAGATTTTGGGGCACTTCATGGTTCCATCTGCTGAAAAGCCTTATGGAGATAAAGATTTCATTTTTCAGCACAACCTGGCACCTGCTCACAGTGCCAAAACCACTGGTAAATGGTTTACTGACCATGGTATTACTGCGCTCAATTGGCCTGCCAACTCTCCTGACCTGAACCCCATAGAGAATCTGTGGGATACTGTGAAGAGAAAGCTGAGACGCAAGACCCAACACTCTGGATGAGCTTAAGGTCACTATCGAAGCATCCTGGGCCTCCATAACACCTCAGCAGTGCCACAGGCTGATTGCCTCCATGCCACGTTGCATTGAAGCAGTCATTTCTGCAAAAGGATTCCCGACCAAGTATTGAGTGCATACCTGAACATATACATTTGAAGACTGACTTTTTTTTGTATTAAAAACACTTTTCTTTTATTGGCCGGATGAAATATGCTAACTTTTTGAGATAGGGATTTTGGGTTTTCATGAGCTGTATGCCAAAATCATCAATATTATAAACAATAAAAGGCTTGGACTACTTCAGTCGTGTGTAATGAATCTAATATATATGAAAGTCTAATGTTTATCAATACATTACAGAAAATAATTAACTTTATCACAATACGCTACTTTTTTGAGAAGGACCTGTATAATAGTTTCCAAGCATTTAAACTCTCCATTTCTTTAAATTGCTGAATCTTTATACAGCTGTCTCACAACTTTTTGCAATTTGAATTCAAATAGCTGCAAAAAGGCAGCAACACTTGCGCGGTCATTTAATTCACAAAACACAAGCTCTTGTAGAAGTTTAGAAAAACTAAGAACAAACATGAATAAATATGAAACCGTTACGCAACTATTTGGCACTTTCCAACTGCAGCCTGCTGAGGAACAGGCGCAGGATGATGTATTTGTATAATTCTGTGTGCAGGTGCACAACGGGCTAGAGCTGAAGAGGTTTCACTCCCGGCATGACATTTTCATTCAGAGCCACATGCTGGGTAAAAACCATTTATCACCATACTCCTGGTTTTGCCCAAACTTGTCTTGGCTCGTCTTTGGGAGATAAAAGGTTTCATCCTACAGTGACAATATTTATACATTAAGAAAAAAGGAAAAAATAAAATCAGCAATCTGGAAAATTTGAAATTTTTTGTACTGGGAAAAATGTGCACAGACATTTTAGAAAGATAGACTTCAGACTAGAACACAGCTGAAGCCAAAACTAACTTTCTCAAATACGAGATTAAAGCCCCGCTCTCTCTATGTAAACAAACTGTATCGCCTTTATTGAAAAAAAATACATTCACCTTACTATTTAAGAGTTCTTACTTTGCCTCCACATTCTGATACATACAATACGGCTACATATGTAAACATAATTTATGGTTTCACTTCTGTAACAGAAAACAGGCGATGATGCTCCTTCTGTCTTTATGCCACCTATAAAAATAAGCCAGTCTGACTGACCATAACAAATAAACCCAAAGTCACACAGATGACTTTGATTTAACATCAGATCGAGAAATGAGACAGCTAAATTTAGATTATAATGCACAATTTA